CAGGCTGGAGTAAAGTGGCACAACCTCAGCTCTCTGCAACCTCCGTCTCCCAGGCTCAAACGATTCTCCTGCATCAGCCTCCCAAGTAGCTGGGACTACAGGCATGGCATCACCATGCCTGGCTAGTTTTTGTATTTTTAGTAGAGAGAGGGTTTCACCATGTTGGCCAGACTGGTCTCGAACTCCTGACCTCAGGTGATCCGCCCGCCTTGGCCTCCCATAGTGCTGGGATTATAGACGTAAACCACTGTGCCTGGCCAGATTTTTTTGTATTTTTACTAGAGATGGGGTTTACCATGTTTGCCATGCTGGTCTTGAATTCCTGACTTCAAGTGATCTGCCTGCCTCAGCCTCCCAAAGGCTGAGGCACATCAACACTTATTTTGATTATAGCCATCCTGCTGGGTGTGAAGTAGTAGTTCATTGTGATTTTGATTTGAATTTCCCTGTTGGCTGATGTTGAGCTTTATTTCATGTGGTTGAAATACTATGTTGGCCATTTGTGTATCTTTGAAGAACTATCTATTCAGATCCTCTGCCCTTTTAAAATGGGTTGTCTTTTTATTATTGAGTTGTAAGAGTTCTTTATATATTCTGGTTACAGATCCTTTTTCAGATGTATGGTTTACAAATAGTCTTTTTTTTTGAGGCAGTGTCTCACTTTGTCACCCAGGCTAGAGTGCAGTGGCACAATCTCTGCTCATTGCAGCCTCCTGGGCTTAAGTGAACCTTCCATCTCAGCCCTCCAAGTAGCTGGGACTGCAGATTCGTGCCACCATGCCAGGCTACTTGTTTCTTTTTTTGAGACGGAGACTCACTCTGTCACTAGGCTGGAGTCCAGTGTGCGATCTTGGCTCACTGCACCCTCCACCTCCCAGGTTCAAGCGATTCTCCTGCCTCAGCCTCCTGAGTAGCTGGGACTACAGGCTCGCACCACTACACCCAGCTAATTTTTTTTGTTTTTTTAGTAGAGACGGGGTTTCATCATGTTGGACAGGATAGTCTCGTTCTCTTGACCTCATGATCCGCCCACCTCGGCCTCCCAAAGTGCTGGGATTACAGGTGTGAGCCATCGCGCCTGGCCCTTGTTTGTATTTTTTTGTAGAGATGGGGTTTTGCCATGTTGCCCAAACTGTTCTTGAACAGGAGGCTCAAGCCATCCAGCTAGGCCTCCCAAAGTGCTGGGATTATAGGCTTGAGCCACTGCTCCTGGCCAGATTTTCTCTTTTTGTTACTGTTGAGAGCTAGCCTCAAAAGGAACTAGCTCTGAGTCTATTGGTTTTTCCCTCTGCTAGGACACTTTTTTTCCATCACTTAGAGCACTTCAAACCAAGAGGTGATACTTGGTATCAGGAAGGAGATTTGGAACACTCCTCTTTTCACAACTATCTCCTGGGGTCTAGTCTCTTTCATTTATTCATTTTGTTAACAGATAGATGTATTGGAAGCTTAATTGTGCTAGTTACTGGGTGATTATGGTGAGCAAGGCATAATTCATGTTATATGGGGCCTACCGTGTAGTGGACAGATGTTAGTCAAATAATCATACAAATGTGTAACTACAAGCATAATAAGTGATACAAAGAAGTTTTACAAACTGTGAAACTGGAAGCACAAAGATGGGAAAGGATTGGGTCAAAGTCATCCTGGTCTCCTTACTGCCAGGTTGCCCATTTTCTGTCTCAGAGTGACGAGACCTGGATGTCTGGTTAGCTGTTCCCATTCCACCCCATTCCAGTCTGGCCTTTGGCAAAAACCTCGTCTGGATTTGATTGGCCTCTCTGTATCCTGGTCAGTGATTTGAAGAAGGCTGTAGTCCTGGAGTTGAGTGTTACATAGAAAAATACCCATAAATTGTCCATTCTATAAACTTGTTGGAATTACAGATGTTAATTTTGAATATTCAGTCATTCTGCTTTGGTAGCATGCAAGGAAAGATCAGTTTTCTCTTACAGAGAAGTTACTTAATATTGTGAAAAGAATAGTTCTCATTGATAACTTGGAAAACTACAAAAAGCATAGTGTATTTTTGGATCTCATGTTTTCTGTATATTTCTATCTGGGAAGAACAGGTTTTGATGTGGACTCTGAGGGCCCTGATTACTTTCTCTGTTTCTCTCTCACCTCCAGGACTCCCTGGAGGAAAAGCGGAAGCGGCAGCGGTCTGAACGCCTGGAACGGATTTTCCAACTTAGTGAGGCTCATGGGGCCCTGGCACCTGTGTATGGGACTGAAGTCCTGGATTTCTGTACCCTACCCCAACCTGTTGCCAGCCCCATCGGCCCTCGTTCTCCTGGCCCCAGCCACCCCACCTTTTGGACTTATACCGAGGCTGCCCACCGGGCTGTACTGTTTCCCCAGCAGCGACTAGACCAGCTGTCAGAAATCATTGAGAGGTTGGCAGGGCTAAGTGCTAATGGGGAGTGGGTCTTGGGGCCTCAGAGTGGATGTAGTGCTTAGGGCTGATGAAGGTGTTAACTTCTGGGGCATTTCAGAGTGCCATCTTTTACACTGCCTGCCTTCCTTCCACAGGTTCATCTTTGTCATGCCTCCTGTGGAGGCACCTCCCCCTTCCCTGCATGCCTGCCACCCACCTCCTTGGCTGGCCCCACGTCAGGCAGCCTTCCAGGAGCAATTGGCCTCTGAGCTCTGGCCCCGGGCTCGTCCTTTGCACCGTATTGTGTGTAACATGCGCACCCAGTTCCCCGACTTGAGACTCATCCAGTATGATTGCGGTGAGTTTGTTGGCTAATGTGGGACCCTTGGTTTCTCTTCCTTTCTTACTAGTAAGACTGTTACATCAGAGGAATGCTGCGCTTAAGGTCTCTCGCTATTTCTGTAAAGGTTTAGATGGTTTTTTAGGTTATGCTTATGGGCAAGATAGAGAAATGTAAGCCTCATGTTAGATTCTTGACATTCATAAATTTGACTTTCTCTTTTCTTTCTTTTATTTTGAGATAAAGTCTCACTCAGTTGCCCAGGCTGGAGTGCAGTGGTGCAGTCTCAGCTCACTGCAGCCTCCTAGGTTCAAGCGATTGTCCCACCTCAGTCTCCAGAATAGCTGTGATTACAGACATGTGCCACCATGCCTGGCTAATTTTTGTATTTTTAGTAGATTTTAGTAAATTTTGTATTTCGCCGTGATGGCCAGGCTGATCTCGAACTCCTGATCTCAAGTGATCCTCCCGCCTCAGCCTCCAAAGTGCTGGAATCACAGGCATGAGCCACCATGCCGGCCATGAATTTGACTTTCATGACAGTTGAAAATGTGCTGCTAACTCATTCATTCAGTGATCATTTTGTGAACATCTGTTACATTTTACTGATCATTTGGGATACAATAGGAAGTAAGACAGTGCAGCATAGAGTTTTCATTTAGGTGTATGGAAAAAGATGTCTGGTGGTACAAGACTGCACAGGAAGTGAACAGTAAATTTTGGTCTTGGAAAAGACAATGACTTTTTTGTGTTGGCTAAAATTATTTGGCGGTAACAGAAAACCAACTAACAGTCGCTTAAACCACAAGAGCATTTATTGTTTACTTAATGAGCCAGTCTGAGAATAGTGGTGTGTAGCTGTTTCAGTAGCTTAACGATATTTTCAGGGACTAGGACCTGTGCTTCGTTCTTTCTTTTTTTTTTTTTGAGATGGAGTCTCGCTCTGTCACCCAGGCTGGAGTGCTGTGGCTGGATCTCGGCTCACCGCAATCTCCACCTCCCAGATTCCAGTGATTCTCCCGCTTCAGCCTCCTGAGTAGCTGGGATTACAGGCGTGCACCACCACGCCCAGCTAATTTTTGTATTTTCAGTAGAGACGAGGTTTCACCATGTTGGTCAGGCTGGTCTTGATCTCCTGACACCGTGATCCGCCGGCCTTGGCTTCCCAAAGTGCTGGGATTACAGGCATGAGCCACTGCGCCCGGCCTTTTTTTTTTTTTTTGAGACAGAGTTTTGCTCTGTTTCAAGCTATTCTCCTGCCTCAGCCTCCCGAGTAGATGGGATTACAGGTGCCCACCACCACGCCTGGGTGAGTTTTTTGTATTTTTAGTAGAGACAGGGTTTCACCATGTTGGCCAGGCTGGTCTCGAACTCCTGACCTCGTGATCCCCTTGCCTTGGCCTTCCAAAGGGCTGGGATTATAGGCATGAGCCACCGCACCCAGCCTTAAGGGACCAGGACCTTATCTTTCTACCCTGCTGTACCATCTTTAGCTTTTATCTTTTTAGTCTCATGCTTTTGTTTCTTCATGTTAGGATGGCTGCCATAACTCCAGGGTATACACCAGTCCTCTAAACAAGAAACAAGGGGTTGAGACAAAACAGTCTGAGAAAGTTTTCTGGGAACAAAAGACCTCCAAGCTGGCCGGGCGCGGTGGCTCAATGCCTGTCATCCCAGCACTTTGGGAGGGTAAGGCGGGCGGATCACGAGGTTAGGAGATTGAGACCATCCTATGAATGGTGAAACCCCGTCTCCACTAAAAATACAAAAAATTAGCCGGGTGTAGTGGCAGGCGTCTGTAGTCCCAGCTACTCGGGAGGCTGAGGCGGGAGAATGGCGTGAACCTGGGAGGCGGAGCTTGCAGTGAGCTGAGATCGCACCACTGTACTCCAGCCTGGGCGACAGAGCAAGACTCTGTCTCAAAAAAAAAAAAAAAAAGACCTCCAAGCTGACTTTGCTTCATAACTCATTGGCTCAAACTGAGCTATATGCCCATACCTAGAGCAATCACTGACAAAGGGGAATAGCAAAAAAGGCCTCTGGCTTATTTACAACTTATTTATTTTCTGGGGTTGGGTTGGGGCCTCCTTCACCTGGGAGCAAGGAACTTCTGCCAGCTGTCCAGTGTTAATCAGGTTCTGTTACCCAAGAATGGCTGTTGGGTAAGTGACTTGTTTCTTCCACAACCCTGCACAGACATTTCTATAGTAACATGTTTCAAGATTTCTTAAATTTTCTAGAATAGAAGAAAATCAAAATTTTTATTAATATGTGTTCAATAAATGTTTTGGTAAAAAAAGTGTTCTTGTTATAATTGAAACTATTCAGAATAGATAAACTGAAAGTCTTGGTTAAAAGTGTTCAAGGCCGGGTGTGATGGCTCATACTTGTAATCCCAGCACTTGGGTAGGCTGAGGTGGGCAGATTACTTGAGGCAAGTAAAGACCAGCCCAGGCAACGTGGCGAAACCCTTTCTCCTCAAAAATTGAAAAATTAGTTGGATGTGCACACCTATAGTCCCAGCTACTCAGGTGGCTGGATTGCAGGAGCCTGGGAGGTCAAGGCTGCAGTCAACTGTGATCATGTCACTGCACTCTAGCCTGGGCGACAGGGTGAGACCCTGTCTCAAAAATAAAATAAGGCTGGGTCCGGTGGCTCATGTCTATAATCCCAGCACTTTGAGCGGCCAAGGTGGGCAGATCACTTGAGCTCACGAGTTGGAGACCAACCTGGGCAATATGGCAAAACCCTGTCTCTACAAAAAAATACAAAAATTAGCCAGGATGGTGGCACGCGCCTGTAGTTCAAGCTACTTGGAAGGCTGAGGCAGGAGGATGGCTTGAGCCCGGGAGGCAGAGGTTTAGTGAGCCGAGATCGCACCACTGCACTCCTGCCTGGGTGATAGAGCCGGACCTTGTCTCAAAAAATGAAATAATAAAGTAAGTGTTCAGGCTGGGCATGGTGGCTCAGGCCTATAATCCCAGCACTTTGGGAGGCTGAGGCGGGAGGATCACCTGAGGTCGGGAGTTCGAGACCAGCCTGACCAACATGGGGAAACCCTGTCTGTACTAAAAATACAAAATTACCCAGGCGTGGTGGCACATGCCTGTAATCCCCGCTACTCGGGAGGCTGAGGCAGGATAATCGCTTGAATCCAGGAGGCGTAGATTGCCGTGAGCTGAGATCGCACCGTTGCACTCCAGCCTGGGCAACAAGAGCAAAACTCCATAAAAAAAAAAAAAAAAAGTTCAAACTGAGTTACCAGAAATGTTGAAGTTGTTTCTGTGTTTGATGGAAGGTTGAACTAGATAACCTTCTAAGAGCCTTTATGGTTCTGACTGTGACCTTAAATCCCTGTCTGTAAGCTGTGACAATGGATTTATTGACATCTATCCTGTGAATCTGTTCTGGATTTCAAGTGGTATGACTGTTGTAATACTTAAGAATCCCGTGCCCATAAAGCATTGAGGATTCTGTTCTTCCCTCGATGTTGTGTATTCCCCTACTCTTTTAGTTAGACTCAAAGAAGTTAGATTCTAGGCCGGAGCAGACCGAAGAGGTGAAGCCCTTAAAGGAAGAACTTGTATGGCGTTAAATATAGATATGTATTTTTTGTGAGAGGGTCTCACTTTGTCGCCCAGGCTGAAGTGCAGTGGTGGGATCTCAGCTCACTGCAACCTCTGCCTCCTGGGTTCAAGCCTGAGTTCTCATGCCTCAGCCTGAGAGTTCTCATGCCTCAATCCTGAGTAGCTGGGATTACAGGCGCCTGCCACCACGCCTAGCTAATTTTTGTATTTTTAGTAGAGACAGGGTCTCATGTTGGCCAGGCTGGTCTCGAACTCCTGACTTAAAGTGATCCACCTGCCTCGGCTTCTCAGAGTGCAGGGATTACAAGCGTAAGCCACCATGTCCCGCTGTAATTAAACATTTTTGATCCGCTAGGCTAATTGAAACTTTGGCCTAGAGCATTGATTACCTTTTAACCCCAGCCTTACATTGCTAAGCATTCTACCCGTTGCAGCTTGTAGCTAGCTCCCTGTATCCCTTAATATCTCTTCAGGAAAACTGCAGACGTTGGCAGTGCTGTTGCGGCAGCTCAAGGCAGAGGGCCACCGAGTGCTCATCTTCACCCAGATGACCCGAATGCTGGATGTATTGGAGCAGTTTCTCACCTACCATGGCCATCTCTACCTGCGCCTGGATGGGTCTACTAGAGTTGAACAGAGACAGGTAACCCAGGTTTCTACAGCCCTTAGAGGCTCACCTCTGCTTCTCTCTTCTTTTCCCAGGATTTGGGCTTCCAGAGAGGGTGCCACTAAGCCTTAGACCTGTTTCGGGGGATAAATCTCCCAGTATCATCTTTTTTTCCCTTTCCTTCTAGGCCTTGATGGAACGGTTCAATGCAGACAAACGCATATTCTGCTTCATCCTTTCAACTCGGAGTGGGGGTGTGGGCGTGAACCTGACAGGAGCAGACACTGTTGTTTTTTATGACAGCGACTGGAATCCCACCATGGATGCTCAGGCCCAGGACCGCTGTCACCGAATTGGCCAGACCCGGGATGTTCACATATATAGGTATTGCCTAGTCTTCCCTCACCTTACTTCCCCTTTACTGATGGGGTTTCCTGGATATATTTGGCTGCTTACACATGGCCTTCATCACCCCCTAGGCTTATCAGTGAACGGACAGTGGAGGAGAACATCCTAAAAAAGGCAAATCAGAAGAGAATGTTGGGAGACATGGCCATTGAGGGAGGCAACTTCACCACAGCCTATTTTAAACAGGTACTTAAGTAAGATCTTTTAGCCTATGCAGGAGAAAACTGCTGTGCCTTTAGGAATTCCTCCTGTTTATTAAAAAAGACTGCTTTGCAGTTTGGGAGGCTGAGGCAGGCGGATCACTTGAGGCCAGGAGTTCGAGACCAGGGTGGCCAACATGATGAAACCCCGTCTCTACTAAAAATACAAAAATTAGCCAGGCGTGATGGTGGGTGCCTGTAATCCTAGCTGCTTGACAGGCTGAGGCAGGAGAATCACTTGAACCTGAGAGGCGGAGGTTGCAGTGAGCTGAGATGGCGCCATTGCACTTTAGCCTGGGTGACGAGAGCAAAAGTGTCTCAAAAAAGAAAAAACAAAAAGGACTGCTTTGGCCTTCACAGACCTGTGTCTTCAGCCAGTGGCACCCCTGATAGTTCCAAGAACCATCAGCCTTACAACTTAGAGCCTTACAGCTTAGACCTAAGACTAGCATTCTGTTGATTCTGACACTTCCCTCTGTTCTATCCGATAGCAGACCATCCGAGAGCTGTTTGATATGCCCCTGGAGGAACCTTCTAGCTCATCTGTGTCCTCTGCCCCTGAAGAGGAAGAAGAGACTGTGGCCAGCAAGCAGACTCATATTCTGGAGCAGGTGAAAAAAGAGTGGGCAGTTCCTAAAGTTGAGCTAATTCTTACAGCATATCTTGTCCTTTGTTAGTCTGTTGAACTTGTCCAGGGGAAAGAGATGTTTTTTCTGCTTCCCAGATTACAGTCAGCCTTTGATAGTTGTAAGCACATTGCTTATTGGTTCACATGATTTAGTAGGAAAAAAGACAGGATTTTGGAGTCCTTAGTTTTAGGTTTGAATTTCAGTAATGCTTCTTTAGTGTTAAGACAAGTTACAATCCTCACTCTTTTGAACCTCACTTCCTATTAAAAGTAATGTGGGCAGGGCGTGGTGGGTGGGTCACACCTGTAATCCCAGCACTTTGGGAGGCTGAGGCTCCCAACTGGAAAGCTTTGAAAACACACAAATGCTCAAACCCAGCACCCCAAAATTATGATAGATTTTGAGAGAGGGCCAAGGAATAAATCTTTTAAAAACCTTTCCAAATGTGATTTAATTATGTATAAGTGTTTGAAACAGCGTTTCACATTAAATACAAAGCATTAAGTATGGCCGGGCGCGGTGGCTCAAGCCTGTAATCCCAGCACTTTGGGAGGCCAAGACGGGTGGATCACTTGAGGTCAGGAGTTCGAGACCAGGGTGGCCAACATGATGAAACCCCGTCTCTACTAAAAAAATACAAAAACAAAAAAAATTAGCCGGGCGAGGTGGCAGGCGCCTGTAGTCCCAGCTACTCAGGAGGCTGAGGCAGGAGAATGGCGTGAACCCAGGAGGCGGAGCTTGCAGTGAGCCGAGATCGCGCCACTGCACTCCAGCCTGGGCGACAGAGCGAGACTCCGTCTCAAAAAAAAAAAAAAAAAAGCATTAAGTACAAAGCATATCCACCTCACCATTTAATCCTCAAAATTATTTCCTTTTCATTAGCATTTCCACTTAAGAGAAGTATTTAGGTTGATGCAAAAATAATTGCAGTTTTTGACATTATATTACTTTTTTTGGAGATGGAGTCTCGCTCTTTCGCCCAGGCTGGAGTGCAGTGACACGATCTCGGCTCACTACAACCTCCACCTCCCGGGTTCAAGCGATTCTCCTGCCTCAGCCTCCTGTGTAGCTGGGATTACAGGCACGTGCCACCACACCCAGCAGATTTTTGTATTTTTAATAGAGATGGGGTTTCACCACGTTGGTCAGGCTGGTCTTGAACTCCTGACCTCATGATCTGCCTGCTTTTGCCTCCCAAAGTACTGGAATTACAGGAGTGAGCCACCGTGCCCAGGTGAATTGTGCATTTCTATTCACATCTTTCTGTGATGGCTTTTTTGTTTGTTTGTTTTTTTGTTTTTTGAGAGCTGAGGCTGGCTTTAAAGGAAGGGAGGTAGAGCGAGCAATCTCTAAAATACTCATTTTTCCCTAGTGGGTGTCCTGGTAAAATCCGTTCCATCCTTTGTGGACCACTGAGTTGTGGTAACTCTGGAGGCCTAGGAGGTTGTTGAGTTCTATTGCAAACCTAGTTTGGTGTATGCCTGGTCTTGCCTGAATCAAATCACATGATGTAAAGTACTTGTAGTCTCATGTTTTTGTTTCCTTTTATACACCCTGGTAGGCATTGTGTCGGGCAGAAGATGAAGAGGATATCCGTGCAGCCACCCAGGCCAAGGCTGAACAGGTGGCTGAGCTTGCAGAATTTAATGAGAACGATGGGTTTCCTGCTTGTGAGGGAGAGGAGGCTGGCCGGCCTGGGGCTGAGGATGAGGAGATGTCCCGGGCTGAGCAGGAAATTGCTGCCCTCGTAGAACAGGTCAGTCAGTGTTGGACCCACTAGTTCTTGACTTTACTGCTTCCCCTGGGCTTGTGACCCTCCTTCTGTCTTCCCTGCTGGGAATAAATAAGGGTGGTGGGTCCCTGGGTACCAGGTTCCTACGTTTATCATCACTGCTCCTCCTTGCAGCTGACCCCCATTGAGCGTTATGCCATGAAATTCCTGGAGGCCTCACTGGAGGAGGTGAGCCGAGAGGAGCTCAAACAGGCAGAAGTGAGTATTTCCAGGGATGGGGCTGGCAGTTGGAAGCTGCTAATTTCTTTTTCTTTTTTTTTTTTGAGACAAAGTTTCACTCTGTTGCCCAGTCTGGAGTGTATTGGTACAATCTCAGGTCACTGCAATCTTTGCCTCCCGGGTTCAAGCAGTTCTCCTGCCTCAGCCTCCCGAGAAGCTGGGATTACAGGCGTGTGCCACCACACCTGGCTAGTTTTTGTATTTTTAGTACAGACGGGGCTTCACCATGTTGGCCAGGCTGGTCTTGAACTCCTGACCTCAGGTGATCCGCTGGCCTCAGCCTCCCCAAGTGCTGGAATTACAGGCATGAGCCACTGCGCCTGGCCTGGAAGCTGCTAATTTCTACTCACTCTCTACTCCGCTTGCCTCCTCCTGACCACTTGTGGGCCCTGTTGTTGTAGGAGCAAGTGGAAGCTGCCCGCAAAGACCTGGACCAAGCCAAGGAGGAGGTGTTCCGCCTACCCCAAGAGGAGGAGGAGGGGCCAGGGGCTGGGGATGAGAGTTCCTGTGGGACTGGTGGAGGCACCCACCGGCGCAGTAAAAAGGCCAAGGCCCCTGAGAGGCCAGGGACTCGTGTCAGTGAGCGTCTTCGTGGAGCCCGGGCTGAGACTCAAGGGGCAAACCACACTCCTGTCATATCCGCCCATCAAACTCGCAGCACCACCACACCGCCCCGCTGCAGTCCTGCCAGGGAGAGAGTTTCCAGGCCAGCACCTAGGCCTCGACCCACTCCAGCTTCAGCTCCAACTGCAATTCCTGCCCTTGTTCCTGTCCCAGTCTCTGCCCCAGTACCCATTTCAACCCCAAATCCAATAACCATTCTCCCTGTCCATATATTGCCTTCTCCTCCCCCTCCACAGATTCCTCCTTGTTCTCCTGCCTGCACCCCTCCTCCCGCCTGTACCCCTCCACCAGCTCATACACCGCCTCCAGCCCAAACCTGTCTTTTAACTCCTTCCTCTCCTCTCTTGCTTGGTCCACCTTCTGTGCCCATTTCTCCCCCAGTCACCAACCTCCCCTTGGGCTTGAGGCCTGAGGCAGAACTGTGTGCCCAGGCATTGGCATCTCCAGAGTCCCTGGAGCTGGCTTCTGTGGCCAGTTCAGAAACCTCCTCACTTACTCTTGTGCCCCCTAAAGATCTGTTGCCAGTTGCTGTGGAGATCCTGCCTGTGTCAGAGAAGAACCTTTCTCTCACCCCTTCTGCACCCAGCCCGACCTTGGAGGCTGGCAGTGTCCCTAACGGTCAAGAACAGGAGGTACCAGATTCTGCTGAGGGCACCACCCTTACAGTGCTGCCTGAAGGTGAGGAGTTGCCCCTGTGTGTGAGTGAGAGCAATGGCCTGGAGCTCCCACCCTTAGCAGCATCTGATGAGCCACTTCAGGAGCCACTGGAAGCTGACAGGACCTCGGAAGAGCTGGCAGAGGCCCAGACCCCAACCTCCAGCCCAGAGAAGCTACAGGAACTTGTTACACCTGAGGTTGCAGCTCCATCCACCTCATCTTCAGCCACTTCCTCGCCTGAGGGTCCTTCACCTGCCCGACCTCCTCGGCGTCGCACCAGTGCTGATGTGGAAATTAGGGGTCAAGGGACTGGTCGGTCAGGACAACCACCAGGCCCCAAAGTGCTTCGAAAGCTGCCAGGACGGCTAGTAACTGTGGTAGAGGAAAAGGAACTGGTGCGGCGGCGGCGGCAGCATCGGGGAGCTGCCAGCACCCTAGTGCCTGGGGTCTCTGAGACTAGCGCCAGCCCAGGAAGCCCGTCTGTCCGCAGCATGTCAGGGCCAGAATCCTCCCCTCCCATTGGTGGGCCTTGTGAAGCTGCTCCTTCATCCTCACTGCCCACTCCACCCCAGCAGCCCTTCATTGCTCGCCGTCACATTGAGCTGGGGGTGACTGGTGGTGGCACCCCAGAGAATGGAGACGGAGCACTGCTTGCCATCACCCCACCTGCTGTGAAACGTCGGAGGGGGAGGCCCCCCAAGAAGAACAGGTCTCCAGCAGATGCTGGGAGAGGTGTGGATGAGGCACCGTCATCCACCTTGAAGGGAAAAACCAATGGGACTGACCCAGTCCCTCGGCCTGAGACCCTAATTGTTGCAGAGCCTGTCCTGGAACCACAGTTTGTTCCTGGGCCCCAGCCTCTTGGACCCCAGCCACTTCACAGACCCAATCCTATCCTGTCACCTGTGGAGAAAAGAAGGCGAGGGCGACCCCCCAAGGCACGAGATTTGCCCAACCCTGGGACCATTTCCTCTCCAGGGGATGGCAACTCCGAAAGTCGGACACAGCCACCCCCACACCCATCACCCCTAACCCCACTCCCACCACTGCTAGCTTGTCCCACTGCTACTGTTGCCAACACTGTCACCACTGTCACCATTTCAACGTCCCCACCCAAACGGAAGAGGGGCCGACCTCCCAAGAATCCTCCATCACCTCGGCCCAGCCAGCTCCCTGTGTTGGACCGTGACAGCACTTCTGTCCTCGAGAGCTGTGGATTGGGGAGGCGACGGCAACTGCAGGGCCAAGGGGAGAGTGAGGGTAGTTCCTCTGATGAGGATGGAAGCCGCCCCCTCACCCGCCTGGCCCGCCTTCGGCTTGAAGCAGAAGGAATGCGAGGACGGAAGAGTGGAGGGTCCATGGTGGTGGCTGTAATTCAGGATGACCTGGACTTAGCAGATAGCGGGCCAGGCGGGTTGGAAATGACACCTCCTGTGGTCTCATTAGCCCCAAAACTGCGCTCGACCCGGCTGCGTCCAGGGTCTCTAGTCCCCCCACTAGAGACTGAGAAGGTGCCTCGCAAACGAGCAGGGGCCCCAGTTGGTGGGGGTCCTGGGCTGGCAAAGCGGGGCCGCCTGCAGCCCCCAAGTCCCCTGGGGCCTGAGGGTTCGGTAGAGGAGTCTGAGGCTGAAGCCTCAGGTGAGGAGGAGGAAGGGGATGGGACCCCACGCCGACGTCCTGGTCCCCGCCGGCTTGTTGGGACCACCAACCAAGGGGACCAGCGCATCTTGCGCAGCAGTGCCCCTCCCTCCCTGGCTGGCCCTACTGTTAGTTACAGAGGCCGCAAGGCCAAGACGTGAGTGGGCTGCCCCTCCACCTAGGCTTTCCACCGTGGCCGCTCCCTCCATGACCAGGCCTGACTCTGTTAACCACTACTTGAAGTCTTGAGGGGGAAAGCCTCCAGGGAGACATAGGGGCCTTCTCCCTTCTTCCCACCAAAGTAGGGGGTAGGCAACTGGTTGTCATGGAAATGGGGATCATCACAGCCCCCCTCCCCTTCACCCCACGTGGCTGGGCAGTGTTAAGGGTGGCAAGATAGTCTCTGTCCCCACCCCCTTGTACTTGATTCCCCAGCTGTCTTTCACAGCCCCCCACCCTTAGGGGAAAGGGGAGGGGCTTCTCTACAATGAGGTTTTTTTCTTTTTTTCTTTTTTTCTTTTTTTTTTTTTTTAAGAAGAAAAAATAATAAACTTAGTTTCTGTACGAGCATCCGCGTAAGGAGGCTTCTGATTTTCTGGTCTGGTGGAGGGTTGGGTGGGAACTTGGGCATCGTTTTTCTCTTCCCTCTTGCTCTTGCAAAGATCCTAGCACCTGATCTCTAGCCTAGGACTGTATATTCCAAGTAGAAACCTACCCAAGAAAAGGGAAGATTGGTGAATTTGATGTGGTAGGGTGCCTTTCCCTAGTCAGTTTGAAGTCACAGACATCCTTTTCCTCCTTTCTTTTCCCTCGGTTCCTAGACGTTCCTCAGAGCTTTTTGATGCCTCAGACCTTTCCCTTTTATCCCTCTTGCTCAGGTGCTTCCTTTCACTCCTTTTTCCAGAGGGCAGGCGTCCTAGCTCCAGTTGGTCCATCCCTTGGGCCCTCCCCTGCTCTTCATCTAGCCAAACTGGTTTGAGTCAGCCACACCCCTTCCCAGCTCCCTGAGCTCTTCAGGTGGTGGCTGGCCACTCAACCCCACCCCTGGGCTTGGCTTGGAGCCCTGAGTCAGCTCCATCACCACCCAAGCCAAACCAAAGCTGAGGCAGGAGCCGAAACTCAGAGTCCCTCAAAGCCTATAGCCAGGTAAGAGCCCTGTTCATTTTATATTCTCTGTTTACTCCCTGGGCCCTCCTTGTGTCTTCCTGTTGACTCTGTTTACCTCATCCGAGTTATTTATTTGTATCTACTTCCCTGCAGCTTCTTGGCACACATCATTCTTTGCTCTCTGCTTGTCTCACCCCTTTCACCTTTCCTATCCTTTGTTACTTGGGTTCAGGGAGCCATTGTGGTTTCATTTTGTGTGGGTTGTAGGAGAATGGTTGGAGATAAGGGTAGAAAGGTGGTTTGATGCCAGGGCCTAGAGGACCTGAGAAGTAGGGAGACGAGAAATAATTAAGTAGGGCATCATTATGCAGGTTTCTGTGTGATAATGAGGTCATTTGGACTCAGTGTACTAGTCTGATTGTGTTGTGTGGCCTGGGTTAAAATAGAGGAGGTGGCAGGGAGGCAGCATAGCAGAGGAAGACCTGACTTAGGGAAGTAAGGTCTTTTTGGTGTTTGGTTTCAGCGGTAAAAAAGGGCTTACTCGGGTATATTTTCCTTACCTTTCTCCATTCCCATAACTGTTTTCATGTAAAATGGCTGCTTTGCTTGAAGTGGGGTGCAGTACCTAGGGTTCTGCTCTCTGACATCTATAGTACTCAGGGGGCAGCCTCTTGGGAATCTGGGGGAATTGTAGGGTCCTTTGAAATACAGATTAAAATAACAGATTCATAGCAGCTTTCAAGAGTTTGTATTTCTCCTGCTTCTTGGTGTGCACCTGTCATTTGGCCTCTTCCCACTTGTTGTAACACTAAATAATACAGATAATGCCTTGTCTACATTGGCTTGTTTTCAAAGACTCAGATCCTCAAACTCAGGTAAAAGAATTCCAGCCACACATCACATTTCCTCTTCTGCTCTGTGAGTCACTAGAGGAATTCCCCAGTAAGGCAGCATTCCTGAGTGCCAGGCTATGCCATGAGGAGAGAGTGCTCCAAGGGGTGGAGTCTGAGCAAGCAAGGCCAAGGGCTCAGTTGTTGGGCTCACAAGTACCTTGACTATCGCCCACAGGTGATGGAGGACGAGGAGAAGGCAGTGGAGATCTTGATGGGCAACACGGAAGCTGCTCATCCTCCATCCCCCATCCGCTGCTGCTGGCTCCGCCTCCGCTGCTTGGCAGCTACTAGCATTATCTGTGGCTGCTCTTGCCTGGGAGTCGTGGCTCTGGTGTTTGCCATCAAGGTGAGGAGTGCAATTCCCATGGGAACATGGGGGTGGGTATAAGGCAATGGTTTCATGTATCTGATCTATCTACATTGATTAGTCACTGAATACCTTTCAGTGCTCTGGGCCTAGTGCCAGAAATAAGAGTAAGACAGGGTTCCTTGCCATCAGAGGACCCATAGTCTAATGAAAGAGATGACAGTGAAAAAGGATAATTAATAGAATGCAGTTCATCAGTACCATAATACAGGAAGCACACGACAGTCTGGGAGCCAGGGAGGATCTATGTATATAATTATATATGTGTATGTGGTAGAGTAGGTAACTGGAATGGCATCCTAGGAGAGGTGACGGGAATTAACCTTAAAGCGTGAGTGAATAAGGGTGGAAGGGCATTCCAGATAAAGGAAGCAGTGTGTACAAAGGCCTGTGGGGCACGACTGGACCAGTGAGGAATAGTGAGAGATGAAGCTAGAGGACCCAGATTTCCAAGGGCCTCCAGTTGTGTGCTTAAGAGTTTTGACTTTATCTGGAAAGTACTGGGGGGGCATTGAGTGGTTCCTGCAGGGGAAAGTGACGTCGTTAGATTTGAGTTTTAGAAAGATCCACTCTCAAGGCCTACATCGAGGGTGACTTGGAGGGGGCAAGGCTAGAGGCTGCTGAACGGTGATAAGCACAATCTTCAGGAGTCTGAAAGACACTACTGGGTTGTTGAGAGGGCTTCACCATTTCAAAAAGCCTATTAGAAACAGCATATGTCCGCCGGGCGCGGTGACTTAGGCCTGTAATCCCAGCACTTTGGGAGGCCGAGGTGGGCACATCACGAGGTCAGGAGATTGAGACCATCCAATCCAACATGGTGAAACCCCGTCTCTACTAAAAATACAAAAATTAGCTGGGCGTGATGGTGCGTGCCTGTAATCCCAGCTACTCTGGAGGCTGAGGCAGGAGAATTGCTTGAACCAGGGAGTCGGAGGTTGCAGTGAGCCGAGGTCATGCCACTGCACTCCAGCCTGGTGACAGACTCCGTCTCAAAAAAAAAAAAAAGAAAAGAAAAAGAAACAGCACATGTCCTTTAGGAAAGGCTACACAGGCTAAGTTAAACTTCATGCTGGAATTTTCTCAACCCTAGACATATTTTAACAGTCAGAAACTTACTGTAAGAACTCCTGGGTTCCATTAGGGCAAAGTCCTAAAAAGGGCCCTTAATGATGACAAAGAGACTGGGCACGGTGGCTCACACCTGTAATCCCAGCACTTTGGGAGGCCGAGATGGGCAGAACACTTGAGGTCACGAGTTCGAGACCAACCTGACCAACATGGTGAAACCCCATCTCTACTAAAAATACAAAATTAGCTGGGTGTGGTGGCACACGCCTGTAATCCCAGCTACTCAGGAGGCTGAGACAGGAGAATTGCTTGAATCTGGGAGGCAGAGGTTGCAGTGAGATCACACTATTGCACTCCAGCCTGGGCGACAGGAGTGAAACTGTCTCAAGAAAAAAAATGATGGAAAAGATACCCATCAGGCTATGAGAATGAGGTGGTGTTTGGGCATGAATGGAATACTCCAGGCTCACTATTTCTTGCCAATAGTTAGAAATTCTGAATCAATCTTGGATGGTTGGAAAGAATGGGGAATAAAAGAATTGGAAAGTACTTTACCATATGCGATCTTTTGAGCTAACTGTGGCCACTCTGAGAAGTAGGCAGGGCGCAGAGATGGGTACCTTATTTTGCAGATGCGAGTTTAGAATCAGAAACTGGAAAGGAGGTAGAGGGTTTGGATGTGAGATTTTCATCTGTGACAGGGAAGGGGGAGTGAAGTGGGGAAATGGACACCTTGGGGCAGAAGTAGCGGGAGAACCTAACCAAGAACCTGCCCCCACAGGCAGAAGAGCGGCATAAAGCAGGCCGGTCCGAGGAGGCAGTGCGCTGGGGGGCCCGGGCCCGGAAATTCATCCTGGCCAGCTTTGCTGTCTGGCTTGCTGTCCTCACTCTGGGTCCCCTGCTGCTGTGGTTGCTCTCCTACGCCATCGCTCAGGCTGAGTGACCCTGGATGGCCTCTGCTGAGAGCCAGCTGAGACCTCCTGGATCCTGCAATGCGGCATTGCTAAGGTCCTGTGACAGCAGTGGTTGGAAGGATCCTGGTTGGAAGGATGGGGACTCTCAAGGGGCTTCGGAAGAGCTCTTCTAGCCCTTTATAAAAGGAGGGCAGCAGCTGAGACTGATGAGAGGAGGGCAGCCTGCTCTGTTCTTTCAGGGCCTCCCATCCCTATCTCCCCCACCCAAGCCCACCCTAGGCCTCTACCCAGCGGGAGGGGTTGAAGACCAGGCCTGGTTTTATTAGAATTCATTTTGTAATAAAAGCCTTTTTTAGTGGTGAAATACTCCTGTCTAATTGTTCTCCCCCTGCTTTACTTTGGGCCCTTGGTGAGAGCCAGCCTGAACATCTGACTGATAGCAGAAGCCAGCATCCACCTCATCCAGGAGCTTCAAGAGAAGGAAACAATTTTTATTTTCTTCTTCTGGAAGTTTTCCTTCTTGGAAAGACCCCAGCTTCTCCCTTGTACGTCCACCAGAAGACAGGGACTCTGAGGCCAGGACGTTAGGTAGGTAGGGCTGTACTATTTATGACTTATATATTCTCGGCTTGTTCTAAGCACTTATATTTCTTTTTTTTTTTTTTTTTTTTTTTTTTTTTGAGACGGTCTTGCTCTTCGCCCGGGCTGGGAGTGCGTGACGTGATCTCGGCTCACTGCAGCTCTGCCCTCCGGGTTCCCGCCTTCTCCTGCCTCAGCCTCCCGAGTAGCTGGACTATAGGCGCCCGCACCTGCCGGCTAGTTTTTTTGTTTTTTTAGTAGAGACGGGGTTTCACCGTGTCAGCCAGGATGGTCTCGATCTCCTGGACTCGTGATTCGCCCGTCTCGGCTCCCAAGTGCTGGGCATTACAGGCTTGGCCACCGCGCCCGGCCTAGCAACTTTATATTTCTACTCCTCCAGTTCTTCAGGTCACTTCAGTAGGTATCTAGTACTATCATATCCATCATATGAATATGTTCACATATGATAGGGTACCAAACTATCTGAGTGAAAAACTGGAGAAGGTGTTCTAAAATGACAGTGTTTTCATTTTATACTTGAGGAAATAAGACAGGATTTGCACAAGGTCCTCAGCTACTAGATGGTAGAGCTGAGACTGAACCAAACAATTTTGGTTCCAGAGCTGAGAGAGGAGTTAGAAGAGGTTGGGTAACAGCAACAAACATCTGTACATGGAGATTTGAATGATTAAATAGGATTTTTCATTCTTTTATCTTGGACCTCATAATATTTTAATTTTTTAAAAATTATGAAGTATATCTACATATAGGAAAATACCCCAACAGTAGTATACAGTTCATTAACACAACAAACATGAATAACCACATTCAGTAAGGAACTGGAACACTGTCAAACTTCAAAGCCTCTTTATCTCTCCTCCAATCACTGCTACTTCCTTTCTTTCCATGTACCACCCATTCTGACTTCTAGCAGTTGTCGTTTAATTTTGTCTGCATTTGAACTTTATATAATGGAATCATGTATTCTTTTCATATTTCACAATGTTGTGAAATTTTGTCAATATTTGGCATAGGTGTAGTTTTTCATTGCTGTTGCAGTATTCAGTCATACAAATGTATCCACACATTTGTCCATTTTCTGTTGGTGAACTTGGGATATTTGCAGTTTGGGGTTATTATGAGTCATGCCTTTTGGAGTGCACGTGTCCTGGCAAGCACCTTACCATAATTCAGAGTCCAGAAGAGCGCCTAAAGGAATTGGAGATGTTGCACACTGAAGAGAGACTAGAGGGGAAAGAGAGGCACATGATGTCTGTCCTCAGTGTTCCCAAGTGCTCCAGGAAGAAGGAAGAGAATTGATTGGTGGTCTCAGAAGTTAGAATTACAACAGTGGGTAGAAGCCATATACAGGGCAGTGTTCTCAACAGAGCTTCACAATGGAACACCTGGGAGCCTTAAAAAGTAGTTAGGCCTGGGCTTTGCCCAGACTATATTCTGACTTAATTGGTGTGAGGTACAACTTGGGCATTAGGATTTCACAGTTTCTCCATTGATTCTAGTGCACATAGTTTGAGAACTACTGCTCTACAGATAAGATTTGATGGGGTTCACTCTGAAATTTCTAAATCAGGAAAAAAGGGTAACACATTTTAGAATGTTGTTTTGTTTTTTGTTCTTTTTTTTTTTTTTTGGAGATGGAGTCTCGCTCTGTTGCCCAGGCTGAAGTGCAGTGGTGCGATCTCAGCTCACTGCAAGCTCTGCCTCCTGGGTTCATGCCATTCTCCTGCCTCAGCCTCCCGAGTAGCTGGGACTACAGGCACCCACCACCACGCCTGGCTAATTTTTTCTATTTTTAGTAAAGACTGGGTTTCACCGTGTTAGCCAGGATGGTCTTGATCTCCTGACCTTGTGATCCACCCGCCTTGGCCTCCCAAAGTGCTGGGATTACAGGTGTGAGCCACCACACCCGACCTGTTTGTTGTTTTTTTTTTCTTAACTTTTAAGTTCTGGGATACAAGCAGAACGTGCAGGTTTGCTACATAAGTATATGTGTGCCATGCTGGTTTGCTTCACCCATCAATCTGTCATCCAGGTTTTAAGCCACCACGCCCTGCTAATTTTCATATTTTTAGTAGAGACGGGATTTCACCATGTTGGTCAGATCTCTTGACCTCGTAATCTACGCACCTCGGCCTCCCAAAGTGCTGAGATTACAGGCGTGAGCCACTGTGCCTAGCCCAACACACAGATCTTAAGTGTTCAATTTGATTATTTTTATTTATTTATTTTTTTTTTTTTGAGATGGAGTCTCGCTCTGTCACCCAGGCTGGAGTGCAGTGGTGCGATCTCGGCTCACTGCAACCTCTGCCTCCCGGGTTCAAGTGATTCTTCTGCCTCAGCCTCCTGAGTAGCTAGGATTACAGGCACGTGCCATCACGCCTGGCTAATTTTTGTATTTTTAGTAGAAATGGGATTTCACCATGTTGGTCAGGCTGGTTTTGAACTCCTGACCTCGTGATCCGCCCACCTCGACCTCCCAAAGTGCTGGGATTACAGGGTGAGCTACCGTTCCCAGCCGATGAATGTTTTAACATAAATAAACCTGTGTAGTCAGTCACTCACCACCTATAGGAATATAACATTTGCAGCACATCAGCAAGCTCCCTCATACTCCTCATTGTTTTTATCCCTGATACTGACTTAACGGAAACCTCTTCAATCTGGTTCCTGTGTCCTTGTGATAAGCCCCCCTCTGTAGTAATTTCTAGCACCAATCGCTCCAGACTCACCTTGTACTTTCCCTGCTGAAGCCTAGAAATTGGCCATTTCTCCTGAACAGCCTTGGTTCCTTTTATTGGGGACTGTTGTTGAGAAATCAGCATCTAGACACTAGGCGTTCTACTGTGATGTTACTGCTTGGGGCATTCTGAAAGCAGAGTTAAGAGCCAGTAAATAATGTTATCTATTTTAAATATTTTTAAAATCGTTTTAAAAATTCTAGTCAATCATAGGGTTCTTTCTCCACTTTCCCCTTCCAGATTCCAGATTCCCACAGTAAGAACCTTGGCTTCCAGTCACGTCAATATGTTGATTACTCAGCTTCAGAATAAGCATTCCATTATTTTACCAAACAACAAATCTAAGTAAAGTTCAAGATTTCTTTGCAATTTTGCCTTTAGATTGATGATATAGAGTCAAAGTACTCTATAAAAAGTTACCTGGGCCGGGCGCGGTGGCTCAAGCCTGTAATCCCAGCACTTTGGGAGGCCGAGACGGGCGGATCACGAGGTCAGGAGATCGAGACCATCCTAGCTAACACGGTGAAACCCCGTCTCTACTAAAAATACAAAAAACTAGCCGGGCGAGGTGGCGGGCGCCTGTAGTCCCAGCTACTCCGGAGGCTGAGGCAGGAGAATGGCGCAAACCCGGGAGGCGGAGCTTGCAGTGAGCTGAGATCCGGCCACTGCACTCAAGACTCCGTCTCAAAAAAAAAAAAAAAAAAAAAGTTACCTGAATTCATTTTTCTTCCCTCATATAATTGAAATCCCAAAGTGTCATTTCTAAGATAGCTGTTGGAAGATAAGTTCATTCTTTTCCTCTTTGCTGGAACATAACCTCCACAAGGTAGGGGTGTGTGTGTGTTTCATTGTCTCAGTCTAGTCCCTAGGTCTTAGATGGTCATAAAAATTTGTTAGTGAATGCCAGGTCTGAGCTATGCACTGAGTCGCTCCTGGCAGAAGCGACTGGTGGCAAAAGCTCCTGGCAGAAGAACCTTGTGGGTTTAGAACAGTGTGATACAAGGCTTTTGGGAGAGGGTGGAAGATGGAGAAAGTGTATTAACAATCCCAGATAGTAAACGCTAGGGCTTTGGATGTATTCAGGAGGGATTGAAGCGGCCACAGAAAGAGAAGGCTGCTTCTGGCCTTCTAAGTCCGAACTAAGAGGCCAGGCTGGGGGTCCAAGCTGCGTGTGTCCAAATGTTTTAAGGGCTGGAGTGTACTCAAGACAGGCGCTTTGGGCAAGGCTGCTAATATTGCAAAGAGCTTGCTGGGCGTTGTGGCTCAAGCCTGTAATCCTAGCATTTTGGGAGGCTGAGGCGGGAGGATCGCTTGAGCCCCGAAGTTCAAGGTTGCAGTGAGCTATGATCGCGCCACTACACTGCAGTCTCAGCGTGGGCTACAGAGCGAGACCCTGTCTAAAAAAAGAGAAAATGCTGAATGCAGTTAGGGATGCTTGGAGAAGACCGAGGGAATTCCCCTGCTCAAGTCTGGGAACTGGAGGCGCGGGAAGGTCCTGCTTCCCCGCCACCCAACGATCACGTTTCCCAGTAAACCCAATTTCCGGGTCCCATTCCAGGCCTCCAAGCCCACTTGACAACAAGCTCCGCCCTCCGCTGGCCCGTAGATGCCACTCGGTGATTGGCCGTGTCTGAAGCCGCGCCCCGGCGTCGCGTCGCGTCCTTAGGTCACGCCGAGCTCCGACGCCCGCACCAGCCCCTATTGGGCGGCCGGTTTCCAATCGGAAGAGCTTCTGAGCCTCAGTCTTCGGGCGGCGCTGGCCATTGGCGGGCAGGATGGAGGCGGAGCCTTGGGTCGTCGCCTGCTGCCCGAGGTTAAGGTGAGTGACTGCAGGCGAACCCGGCGACAGCGCAGGTCGCGTCGACCCTGGCTCCTCTGCCTGCCCCAGCGGGTGAGCCTGCGCTAGACCCCCGTCCCCTTCCTGCGCCCGCCCGAATGCGCCTGCGCGGCAACAGCCGCCTGCCCTTGCGCCCCTTCCCCCAGCTTCCTGGGCACCTCTCCCCACTCCCTTTCCTGCCCTGCCATCCTCCCGCCCCCAGGCTCTTCTGCGGGGTCTCCCCAGTCCGGGTCCTTCCCCTACCCCCTCCCCCCACTCCCCAGGACCCTGGCGCCCCAGCCGCAAGGGCTGCGCCCCCGGGAGCCGCGATGCGGGTCGTCTCAGAGCCTATGGGCTTCCCTGCCCTCACTGCCCTCCTCCTCCGCGCAGGCCCCCGCCTCCTTCAGGATGACGCTGGACGTGGGGCCGGAGGATGAGCTGCCCGACTGGGCCGCCGCCAAGGAGTTTTACCAGAAGTACGACCCTAAGGACGTCATCGGCAGGTGAGACCGCGGCCAGGGAAACGGAGGTCCAGAGAGGTCGGGCCCCAGCAGTCCCGCTTCCGTTTGAGGGCTGGAGAGGTAGGGGTGTGTGTGTGTGTGTGTGTGTGTGTCAAGGTTTTCAGGAGAGGACTGGATAGTTCTTTTTTTTTTGAAACGGAGTGTCGCTCTGTGGCCCAGGCCGGAGTGCAGTGGCGAGATCTCGGCTCACTGCAACCTCTGCCTCCCGGCTTCAAGTGATTCTCCTGCCTCAGCCTCCCTAGTAGCTGCTATTACAGGCGTGCGGCACCACACCGGCTAATTTGTATTTTTAGTAGAGGCAGAGGTTTCACCATATTGGCCAGGCTGGTCTTGAACTCCTGAACTCGTGATCTGCCAGCCTCAGCCTCCCAAAGTGCTAGGATTACAGGTGTGAGCCACCGCGCCCGGATGACTGAATAGTTCTAAATGGGAAGAATCAGTGGTAAGTGGAGAACATCTGGTGACTAGACTGTTACCGTGGGTCAACCCCATATGTTTCACGGATTCATTCATTTATGCCTTCAACACACACGGATGGTTGACGCACCTACCGTGCCAGACACAAAGCTCAACACGGGGAGGGTAGAAAAGATACCTATGCCCTTGAGGTACTCCACCTGAAGTGAACGTTAAAAGGCATCAGGCTAGATAGGTAGAGGTCTGTATCAAGTGTTATGGGATTCCAGAAAAACAGTTTCCCAGGAGTCACCTTTGGGCTGGGTCTTGAGGTATGAGTAGGAGTTCAGGGGGGTCTTTAAAATCATAAAAATGTATGCGTGTGGTAGATGTCTACAACTTTCATCAGATTCTCAAAGAGGCTCGTTAAAGCTGGGTCATAATTAAAACATGGCCGCAAACTCAGATGCCCTTAGTGGTTGCGCAGGAAATTAAAACCATGACGTGGCCAAGAGTAACAGAGTAGGAAGTGTTGTGTAAGGTGGAGGATTCATGTCCCACCTATGATGTGTGAATTCAGATTTGTTAAAAAAAAAAAAAAAAAAAAATTGCACTGGCCAAAACGTACCACATCGGAGGGCTGTGTTTGGCCTATGGATCAATAGTTTACATCCCTTGATTTAACTAGATGTGGGTGACCGAATTCCCAAGTGAGTTATGTGAGGCCAGGAGGCCCCACAGAGCATAGTAGTAAGGCTCTGTGAAGGGCAGCGAGGGAACCAGCATAAGAAATGGAATTTGAGGCCTGATCCTGGAGGGATTTGCTCCTTAGTCTCAGGAATGTGTAGGGTCATATGGAGTTGGTGATAGCTTGAGCAAGGAAATCCTTATCTAGGACTTTGTGTGTGCCTCATGAATGCCCTTCAACATCCCTTCAGGATGCTGTTGGCCACATTTCACAGTTGCAGGAGCTGAAGCCCAAGGACCTTATGTCAGGGGACGACTTAGGTTAATTGGTAGCAAATCTGGGGTCTACTCTAAGGTCTGATTTTCAGCTTTGGTCTTCTAGTCAATGGCTTCATATTTATTTGGAGTTTCCTACACTTGAGGGAACTTTGGGATTTGGATGGGGTAATCAGGGAAGTGCAAGTGGAATATGGAGGGAGACTTAAATCTTTCTTCCCCCTTCCTTCAAGGAGCAGGTGCTGAGGCTCAGTGTGGGAAGGACTTGCCTAGGCTTTCCCATGGAGGAAGTGGCAGAGCCTGGATTTGAACCCAGGCCCTACCTGCCTTCCCTGTGAGCTTTGTGTGTGCCTTGCTGGGTACCCAGGTTCCTGAGGCTGCTGTGAAGCCAGGGTGAGCTCCTAAGCTTGTTGCCCTGTGATCCAGATGGGTCTTCATGGTCTGGCACAGCGGGCATGAGGATGCTGAAGCCCCAGCCTGTGCAGAAATGTGAGCACAGATGCCCTGACTTGTGCTATTTTCTGGCTCTCGCAGAGGAGTGAGCTCTGTGGTGCGCCGTTGTGTTCATCGAGCTACTGGCCACGAGTTTGCCGTGAAGATTATGGAAGTGACAGCTGAGCGACTGAGTCCTGAGCAGCTGGAGGAGGTGCGGGAAGCCACACGGCGAGAAACACACATCCTTCGCCAGGTCGCCGGCCACCCCCACATCAGTGAGGCTGTCTTCCTTGCTCCTGTTAGCAGACGACCCCCTACCTCTTGCTGACCCTGCCCACAGCCCACTTCCCCCAACATTGCCTCCACGCCTCTCCTCCCTTCCTCCTGGCTTCATTCCACTAAAGAGTGGTCATCCATTGGGCCCCCACTGCCTCCTCTGGTTCTCCTTTCTTCCCAGTAACAGCCCGCTGCTGTCCCAGGGTGACCAAGCCCCATCAATGTGTATCCACTCCTTTCCATCTCTGTCTCTCTGCCTCTCTTCCTCTCTCCCTAGTCACCCTCATCGATTCCTACGAGTCTTCTAGCTTCATGTTCCTGGTGTTTGACCTGTGAGTATCTCCCTGCCACCATCTGAGAAGCCTCCTCCCCACCTCCATGTATGGTCCAGCATTTGCTGCTCAGTGGGCTGGACCCACCCTACTCACACCTTCCTGCTCCAGCTGGGGCTCTCTATCACCTGGGCCTGCCTGCTAGCCCATGGCTCTGGCCTTCTCCCTCGGTGCCATCATTAAGGCAAATTCTTTAAAAGTAATAGTGACCAGCCAGGCGTGGTGGCTCATGCCTGTAATCCTAGCATTTTGGGAGGCTGAGGTGGGTGGATCACCTGAGGTCAGGAGTTCAAGACCAGCCTGGCCAACATGGTGAAACCCCGTCTCTACTAAAAATAGCCAGGTGTGGTGGTGCACGCCTGTAAGTCCATCTACTCGGGAGGCTGAGGCAGGAGAATCACTTGAACCTGGGAGGTGGAGGTTGCAGTGAGCCGAGATCGTGCCATTGCACTCCAGCCTGGGTGACAGAGCGAGACTCTTATCTCCAAAAAAAAAAAAAAAGTGTTCAGCAGTGGACTGACCACTTAGAAAATAGATCCTTGCGGCTGGGCGCGGTGGCTCACACCTGTAATCCCAGCACTTTGGGAGGCCGAGGCGGGCGGATCACAAGGTCAGGAGATCGAGACCATCCTGGCTAACACAGTGAAACCCCATCTCTACTAAAAATACAAAAAAACATTAGCTGGGAGTGGTAGCAGGCACCTGTAGTCCTAGCTACTCGGGAGGCTGAGGCAGGAGAATGGCACGAATCTGGGACGCGGAGCTTGCAGTGAGCAGAGATCGCGCCACCGCACTCCAGCCTGGGCGACAGAGCGAGACTCCGTCTCAAAAAAAAGAAAAAGAAAAAGAAAATAGATCCTTGCTCATCAGCCTCTCGTGCTGCTTAACACACTAACTACTCTGGTGTCTGTCTCTGCCCATCTGTTCTTTTTCTGGTCAGAATCTGAATGTCAGATGTTACGTGGTATAATGTAAACCAATTGCAAAGGTATTTCAAAAGAGAATGATTTGAATTCCAAAGATTTAAGAGAGGCCCTTGGAAAAAATTCATGAAGGCTTCCATATTTTTACAGAAATAGCCCTCTGCAAAAGTCAGAGGGGACGTAAGGATGTCTATTATGCCATCCTCCAGCTGTGCAGAGTGACTACACTCCCCAAAACAGTACCTGATAAGTTACTTTGAGGACTGATGCAGAGTTGCAAGTATAACTCAGTTTTGAAAGTATTATTTTTAATTGACACATAATCATAACCTCAGCTTTTAAAGACAAAATTTCAAAATCAGGTCCTATTCAACCTTTGTGCCACAAAAAAACTGAAATTTTGGTCCATTTTCTTTATAGATTCACTTTGAGAGGCCTTTTTCAGGCATAGTTATTCTCAAACAACAAGAAACTCCTATAAATTATATTGCCACAAGAAGTCTCTTATTTTTGCTATAATTGCCATCATGACATAATGCAGGTATTTCAGCTGCCAACACACCAGGCCAAACTGCCTTGCTGGAGTGCTGTCTCTCTAGACCCTTTGGTTTGTCCGCAGAGGAATCTATCTTTAGTGGCCTCTTCCATGATATTTTGTATGAGCACTGGTCTGTTTTCTCAACCCCCAATGTGGGGTGCAGCTGCCTCCTATGCCCCTCCTTCCCTTAGGATGCGGAAGGGAGAGCTGTTTGACTATCTCACAGAGAAGGTAGCCCTCTCAGAAAAGGAAACCAGGTAAGGGTTGAGCCTGCAGCCCCAGGGGTGAGCAGGGGGTGGGACAGGGCAGGGAGGAGCCAAGGAGGAGACTGCACCCGCCTTCCCTTCCCTCAGGTCCATCATGCGGTCTCTGCTGGAAGCAGTGAGCTTTCTCCATGCCAACAACATTGTGCATCGAGATCTGAAGCCCGAGAATATTCTCCTAGATGACAATATGCAGATCCGACTTTCAGATTTCGGGTTCTCCTGCCACTTGGAACCTGGCGAGAAGCTTCGAGGTGAGGGGATCTACTGCCCTTATAGGCTTGGGAGGGGAGACCTAGGCCTGATGAGATTGGTTGGCTGGGTCTGAGTACCAAGTCCCTGGTGCCAAGAAAAAGGGAGAAGTCATTGGGTACTTGCCAATTACCCTGTGGGCGCAAAACCTGTGTTTACCTCAGAGTGGGCATTCTGACCTGGGGAGAATGGAGACAGACAAGTGGGCTGACAGACAGTGGTGCACGGTGGGTAGAGGGCCATGCCAGGGGAGCCCAGAGGAAGGAACCCCAATTCAGCCTGAGCCCCACAGAAGAGGTAAAAAAGGGAGCAGGGCAGAGTCATGCTCAGCCACATGTTTGGGGTCTGGAGTGCAGGACCACGGGAGCCTGATGTGATGTGTTCAGACTGCACTTCCCACCTGGGCCCTAGGCCTCAGGTTCACCTGATGTGAATACATTTGTCGGGACAGTAATATTTCTACTGCAAATGGGAAACTTCAAATAAAATTCACCTTGGGATTCTTCAGAGCCTTTAGTCTGCCACTGACTCTCTCCCTCAATGGCTTTGCACTAGACTTATGAAAAGCTACCGTTTACTGGGCATTCACCTATGAGGCAGGTATCAGTCTTTTTTTTTCTTTTTTGAGACAGAGTCTTGCTCTGTCACCCAGGCTGGGGTGCAGCGGCATGATCTTCGCTCATCGCAATCTCCACCTCCTGGGTTCAAGCTATTCTGCCTCAACCTCCCGAGTAGTTGGGATTACAGGTGCCCACCACCATGCCCGGCTCATTTTTGTATTTTTAGTAGAAATGGAGTTTCACAATGTTGGCCAGGCTGGTCTCGAACTCCTGACCTCAAGTGATCCTCCCGCCCTGGCCTCCCAAAGTGCTGGGATTACAGGCATGAGCACTGTGCCTGGCCGGCACCAATCTTTATATGGCTTGTTCCCCTAAATCCTCTCCACAGCCCTGTGTGACAGATAGTATTTGTGGCTCTGTTTTTACAGAAGGGCTCAAAGAGGTGAGATGACTTCTCCACGGTCCTAATGCCAGGACTGAACTTGGACAGTCTGACTTCAAATTTCATACTCTTAACCTGTGGGTTTACATGTCTGGTGGATGTTGTGCTTTAAAACCCTTTGGGCTTCCACATGTACTTTTCCCCTTTCTGGAATCATCTTTGCCTCTGCCCACTGCATCCTCTTCTTGGCTTGGGTAATTCAAGTTTCACTTTACACCTCCAGGGCAGCTTAGGTCCCTTTGCTTTTTGTTCTCCTATCTTCTTCATTTACAACACCTCTTACTCTATTGTTACTTCCTGCTTGCCTTCAGGTAGACAGTGAGCTCGCTAAGGACACATCTCATTTGCCACTTGGCAAATCAATGCCACTGGCATTCAATAAATACTTGGTATAGGAATGAATTTCCCAAGAAAGTCAGTTTCAATTTGGGGCTGTTAAAATCTCCTGGAAGTGTGCCATGGAACACAGTTCAGAAATTACTGGAAGAATTGGTGCCCGAGTGGTGGAAAAAAACTAAAAATACAAACTTGAGCCAAGCATGGTGGCACGCATCTGTCACCTCAGCTACTTGGGAGACTGAAGGAGGAGGATCACTTGAGCCTAGGAGCCCAAGGCTGCAATGAGCTGTGATAGTGCCACCACACTCCAGCCTGTGTGACATAGTGACCCTGTCTCTAAAAATAAATAAATATAAAAATACAGACTTGCATAAAGTTTTGGAGGGCTCTGGGCTTTAGAACTGTAGATTTGATCATGTGTCATGATGTGGAATCAGGGAAGGGTTTTAAACAAGGGACTTACCCACTATGTGCTTTAAGAAATCCCATAGCTCACAGGGTGCAGTGGCTCACACCTGTAATCCCAACACTTTGAGAGCCCGAGGCGGGTGGATCACGAGGTCAAGAGTTCAAGACCAGTCTGGCCAACATGGTGAAACCCCATCTCTACTAAAAAGACAAAAAATTAGCCAGGTGTGGTGGCACGCACCTGTAATCCCAGCTACTCAGGAGACTGAGACAGGAGAATCGCTTGAACTTGGGAGGCGGAGGTTGCATTGAGCTGAGATCATGCCATTGTACACCAGACTAGGCGACAGGGCAAGACTCCATCTCCAAAAAAAAAAAAAGAAACAAAAGAAATTCCATATCTCCGCTTGTTCCCCTTGGGTTGAGTGATGGTTGGAGGTTATAGGAGGAGAAAGGTTTGGGCAGATAGGAATGCAGAAAATTTTTTTTACATATGTATTGTGATGTATGTAAAAATACATAATCTTTCCATATGCTTTATGATATATATAAAACTAAGGTAACAAGTTGTGAGGAGTAGATAGGTTGACTTGGATAGTGGGTAGGTAGGGTTGGAGGAGGCAAATGATATGGTGGAACAAGGACCTTGAAATCAATCCAAAACCCAGGTTTTCCTAGGAAGACCACCAGGAGCCATGATGGGTATCTGAACTCTTGAGCAGGGATAGTGCCTCAGCGGAGACTTGGCAGAAGGCAGGCAGGAGGAGGATAGGAACACTGGTAGTCCTGGTGGCGTTGAGGAGGCTTCAGCAGAGATCCAGTGCTAGGGGCCCTGGAGGGGCTGGTGGCATCCCCTCAATCTTGGTCCTCTCTCCCCAGAGTTGTGTGGGACCCCAGGGTATCTAGCGCCAGAGATCCTTAAATGCTCCATGGATGAAACCCACCCAGGCTACGGCAAGGAGGTCGACCTGTGAGTTCCTGGTCTCCCTCTCCCTCCTGTGCTTGCTGTCCTTTGCCGGGTCTGCCTGTCACCCAGTCCCGCCTGACTCCAGTCTCTTTCCCAGCTGGGCCTGTGGGGTGATCTTGTTCACACTCCTGGCTGGCTCGCCACCCTTCTGGCACCGGCGGCAGATCCTGATGTTACGCATGATCATGGAGGGCCAGTACCAGTTCAGTTCCCCTGAGTGGGACGACCGTTCCAGCACTGTCAAAGACTTGGTGAGCTGGGGCTGAGAGGACAGTAGGGGAGGCCCAAGAGCTGCCCCTCATGCTCTGGGTCTCTCCTAGATTTCCAGGCTGCTGCAGGTGGATCCTGAAGCACGCCTGACAGCTGAGCAGGCCCTACAGCACCCCTTCTTTGAGCGTTGTGAAGGCAGCCAATCCTGGAACCTCACCCCCCGCCAGCGGTTCCGGGTAAGCCTAAGAGTGTCAGGGTCTGGGCCCATTCCTCTGTCCCGTGATCTTTCCCCTGCACTAGAGCTCACCCTGCCCCCCTTCCTAGGTGGCAGTGTGGACAGTGCTGGCTGCTGGACAAGTGGCCCTAAGCACCCATCGTGTACGGCCACTGACTAAGAACGCACTGTTGAGGGACCCTTATGCGCTGCGGTCAGTGCGGCGCCTCATCGACAACTGTGCCTTCCGGCTCTATGGGCACTGGGTGAAGAAAGGGGAGCAGCAGAACCGGGCAGCTCTCTTTCAGCACCGGCCCCCTGGGCCTTTTCCCATCATGGGCCCTGAAGAGGAGGGAGACTCTGCTGCTATAACTGAGGATGAGGCCGTGCTGGTACTGGGCTAGGACCTCAACCCCAGGGATTCCCAGGAAGCAGAACTCTCCAGAAGAAGGGCTTTGATCATTCCAGCTCCTCTGGGCTCTAGCCTCAGGCCTACCACTGATCCTGCTACCCTCTTAAAGACCAGCCTGGTACCTGTCTTCCCACCAGCCAGGGCTCTGAGATCAGAGCTGGGGTGGAAGGGAGCCACTCTGAACGCCACGCCTGGCCCAGTCAGTGCTGCCTGCGCTGCATATGAAATAAAACCCACTACACACCAGGGAGAGCGGGTGTCCTGTGTCTGCTGTCTGGCTTGGGCAGGAAAGCCCAGAAGATACTCACCAGGGTGCAGGGATGGGGCCATTCTGGCCCAGACCTTTATTGGGGAAAATGCTGGGGGTCACTTGGTCTTGCTCTTGCCTTTACCCGGAGGTAGCTGGAAGGGCCGCTCTAGTGCAGTCAACTTGCTGCTGAGCCTTTCCTCACTGGCCTTGAGCTGCTCTTCCACCAGCCGCTGGAGCTCCTCCAGCTCCTTGTTCATTTGGGTCTTGATGTAGGCTCGGAGGATGTGGATGTGGCCTGAAGGGGCAGGGTGAGGAGAGATGCTGTCTGGCAATGGGGATGGTCCCTAGCTGGGCAAACACAGCCCCCAAATTTCCCCTGGGGAATATACAGGTGGCAATGTTGTTTCCCTTTAGGAAATGTCAGCCAGCCCTTGTATGAAAGGTAGTTGGGTAGGGTGGCTATGCTGGACTTTGCAGATTCAAATTCTGATCCCTACTCAGTAGCTGTGTGACCTTAGGCAGGTTATTTAACCTATCCGTGCCTCAGTTTCCTTGTGTGAAATGTGAATAGTGGTACCTAGCACATAGGATTGAGGGAGGATTAAATGAGTTAATTTATATAAAATGCTTAGAGCAGGGCATGCACTGCACACCTATTGCCAAGTATGTGCTGGCTGTTACTGTCATTGGCTTTCTAATGATCATTTCTCTGGAGCCACCTCAGCTGTGCATTTTTTTGTTTGTTTTGAGACAGAGTCTCGCTCTGTGGCCCAGGCTGGAGTGCAGCGGTGAGATCTCGGCTCACTGCAATCTCCGCCTCCTAGGTTCATGCAATTCTCCTGCCTCAGCCTCCCAAGTAGCTGGGACTACAGGAGCGCACCACCATGCCTGACTATTTTTTGTATTTTAGTAGATACGGGGTTTCACAGTGTTGCCCAGGCTGGTCGCAAACTCCTGAGCTCAGGCAATCCACCCGCCTCAGATTGTGTTGGGATTACAGGCATAAGCCGCCACACCGGGCCTACAGCTATGCTTTTATCTGTCATCTTGGACTTCTGCATAAGGGATCAGTTAGAGAAAGGACTCTATGACTAAAAACAAAAAGTCTGAAGTCCGGATGTGATCCAAACCCTTCATTCTACACCCGCTCAGAGGGACAGGGCAGCCTGCCCCCTCCAGATCCTCACTTGGCTCCGGCTCTGGCGGGGCCACTGTCTCTAGTTCCTCTTCCTGCGGCGTAACTGCCTGCTCCTCCACCTCCTTGCTTTCTTCTTTCTCTGCAAACCAGAAGCAGGAAGAGACTGTGGCCCCAGGCCTGGCCCAGCCCAGCCCTGCCCTGGCACTCTCCCTTACCCGTCTCACTCTCTGGCCACAGTTTGGGTGGCTGTAGCCCTATGTAAGTCAAAGACAGATCCAGCCGCACCTGAGAAGCAAAGAAGAGGGAGGCTGAAAAGAGGGCACCTGCGCTGAGGGGATGGGGAGTTGAGGATGGCTCCTCATGGTCCAACACCCCCTACCTGGGGTGTGAAGACGTATTTATAGAGTTTGAAGTGGCGGAAGTAAGTGTTGACCACGTAGTCTTCCAGGGCCAGCAGTTGTTCCTCTTTGAAGAGGTCGATGCTGAAAGGAGGCCGCTGTGGTGGTGACTGGGAATTAGAACCCTGACTACCTCCTGGAGCCCTGGCTTTGCCTCCAAAAGCCTAGCAATCTAGGAGCAAGGAGAGCCCACTGGGGTCTTCATAGGAAGATAAGGGTGATGAATGTGAGAGAAACGGGGCTAGACCTTGCCTGGGGATGGGTAAAGGTTCCAGAATGTTCCAGGGGAACTGACCCTGACTCCATGGCAAAAAAGAACGCTGGTGAAGTAGTGGTAGCACTCCTCCACGTCGCCCAAGGGGGTTGCTGGTAGGGAAAGCAAGATGCGGCAGTGAGGCCCTCTCTGGTATCCATTCATTCACTTCACTCAATAGCTGTTTATGACCATGAGCTTCAGAGGCAGATCTGGGTTTCAGCCCTGGCTTGTTTCCTTAACTCATGTAACAAATATTGAATACCCACTATATGCCCACTGTTCTAGGCACTCAAGACAGACAAGGTCCTGTTCTTACGAAGCTTATATTCTAGGAGAAGTGACACAATAAACCAAGAAATAGCTCATTTCAGCTATTAAACATTCTGAAGCATAAGCTATTAAATATTCTAAAGCACGTTTTATTGTGCACTATGCATATATTTGCATATATTATTTCTCAGAACTGTCCTGTAAAATGTGCTGTATCATTAATTTCTCTCTCTCTCTCTTTTTTTTTTTTTTTTTGAGATAGAGTCACGCTCTGTCGCCCCGGCTAGAGTGCAGTGGCGCGATCTCGGCTCACTGCAAGCTCCACCTCCCAGGTTCATGCCATTCTCCTGCCTCAGCCTCCTGAGTAGGTGGGACTACAGGTGCCCGCCTCCACGCCTGGCTAATTTTTTTTTTTTTTTTTTGTATTTTTAGTAGAGACAGGGTTTCACTGTATTAGGCAGGATGGTCTCGAACTCCTGACCTTGTGATCCGCCTGCCTCGGCCTCCCAAAGTGCTGGGATTACAGGCGTGAGCCACCATGCCTGGCCTGTATCCTTAATTTCTAGATAAGGAAGCAGTGGATTGGAAAGGTGATGGCTTATGTGTGATAATGCTATTAATAATGACATATTCCAGGCAGAAATCCCCTGCTTCTGCTTCCCACGGTCACTTGTGCCAGCCCCAGTTCCTCTTCTCCCTGGGGCTCAAACCTGGTAGCTGCCCCCTCTCACCAATACAAGCCTTGTGAAGATCCTGGAGCAGGGCACAAGCTGCTGAAGTCTGCTCCAGTGAGAAGCCCTGCTGGCGGCAGAAGATGAGCGCGTGGCAGAAGAGGTCCAGGGTGATGGCGTCCCGCAGGCTCTGCTCAGGACACCCTAGCTCCAGCAGCTCAGCCAACACCCTTGGGAGGGAGAGAGTAGTGAGTGACAACTGGAGCCTCCTTTCATCACCCTAAACCCACCACATGCTTTGGAGTCAGCCATTCCTCATGTCTTCCCAACCTGACCCCTCGACCTTTGCCAAGAGCTCTTCCCGCGCCCCCACTCAGTCCCTACTGCCTCATCTCCTCAGCACTGGTAGTCTTCTCCAGCTGGTGCATGGAATGGATGTCCAGGTACTTCCTGTTATAGGAAAAGAAAAAGAGTATTGGTGGCCATTACCTATCATGACAGGGCTGTGACAGCTAGTGCGTGGGACTGGGAGTTGGGCCACTGGTGTGAAGCTGGGCTCTTTTGCCAACTTGCTGTTTAACTATGCAAATCGTTAGCTCTCTGGGCCTAAATGAACTCTTATGAGCCTCTCCATTTCTAAAGCCTAGGGTTAGGAAACTTGAATTCTTTTTTTCTGCTCTGCCACTACCTTGTATGACCTTGGTCAAATCCCCCCTGTGGCCCTCAGTGTCCCCCTCTGTACAATACTCCATAGCGGTCATGAGACTCCCTTTACATCCTGTCTTTGGCTCTTTTTTTCTCACACTGTCTCCTCTTTGGATTGGGGATGCTGGAAAGCTGGCTTCCAGTCACCTGGAGTAATTGCATCTCTGGGCCTCAGTCTCCTCATCTGTAAAAATGGGGATGCCCTGGCCACAGACAGGACTGTTGGGGAGGCAATAAAGGAAGAACGCAAATATTCAGTGTAACTCTTCCCCAAGTCTCTTCACACTCACCACATGCAGATCCGGGGTCGGGGCAGCGGCGGCTGCGGAAAGAAAGCGAATTGGGGAAGGCAGCTGTGGTGTCCTGGCCGTCGCGAATCCGCAGCGGGCCCCAGAACTCGCTGTAACTTGCCATCTCATCTCAACGACTAAGAAGGAGAGGCGCGGGCGAGGGCGGGCTTCAGGAGGCCCTAGGTGCTCTATGCGAGCACAATAACCACCAGGGTCACACACCCCTGCCTCTCCTCGCCCAGGCAGCGCGGGAGACGTCCCGAACGTTAGTAAGCATAATGACGATTGGTGCCTGCGGGGGAGCCCGTTTATAAATATTCACGAGCGGACCAGACTGTCCCGCCCTCACCGGGAACAAGTTGGCTCCAGGGTCTTCATCCGCTTTCGCCGCCGCCGCCGCCGCCGCCGCCGTCGACTGGGTCCGCACACTCGCTCGCGTCCGCGCGGCCGACCCACGCACTGAGATGCGATCCTTCCCCGCTTCCCGCCGCAGCTCGGAGAGATGTTCAAGCTCCGACTGCACTCTCATTCCCAAAAAGTGGCTGGTCTTGCGGTTGAGCATCTCGCCGCTCTTCCGTGCCGCGGCGCGCCCCGGGCTCCCGCCGCCTCGGTTCCAGGACAGCCAGCGCTCGGTCTGCGGCTACCAAGGCCGGGCCCGCTCGCCTTGCTCCGGCCAATCTGCGCTCCAAGAGGCGCGGCGGAGCGAATCCGTGGGGGCGTCTCCCTCCGTCTCAACGACGACGGTTGCCAAGGTGGCTTGTGAAGGAAGGAAGGCCGGAACCGCAAGCTCACGCCAGTGGGTGCGAAGAGAACGCGCAGATACGTAAGAAGTTGCGAGTGCCCACCTGAGCACCCTCTCTTCCAAGTTGCTAATACGAGGGCCGGCGCTGTCCTCAAGGCGGGGAAGTGGGAGCTTGGTGTCAGTTACTATGGGAACTGCCTCTTGGCCAATCACCGAGAGAAAGAGAAGGTGTTTGGGAAGAAGCCAGAGGACCCGAGAGGCGGGACCAAGCGTAACCAATAGAAGCAGAAGATAAAGAAGTTTCCTCACATCCGGGGCTGCCTCCGGCGCCTGCGCCCTGCGCACCGTTGGGGGCCAGTGACGTCCAGTGACGTTCGGTGAAATCCAAGATGGCGGCGCTAGGCTGACCCTGTTGCTGGTGAGGGCTCTGGCGCCGGCGGGGACGGGATGCAGCAGGTGTGTGCGGGGTGGAGGGTGTTTGGGGCTGTGGAACACCAGCCGTTCCCACATCTCTGCTCTCTGACTTCTGCAGGTGACGGAAGTACCGCTTCCTCCCGTCTGACGCCCCTCAGGGGACCCTGCGCCGCTCCAGCCGCCGCGGCCATGTCTGGGCTAGGCAACAAACGCGCCGCCGGCGACGGGGGCTCAGGGCCCCCGGAGAAGAAGCTGAGTCGTGAGGAGAAGACCACCACCACTCTCATCGAGCCCATTCGTCTTGGAGGCATCTCTTCCACGGTTCTTGGGCTCTTGCCTTAACCCTCAGAATTTCCCAGAGCCCTCCCTCTGTTCTCTGGCCAAATTGTCCAGAATCTTACACCCACTTCCCCAAGTTTAGCAAGGTCCGCGTTACAGGATACTCTGTTGAAAGAAGCCGAGAACACGACGCCTGTCTTCCTTTTACAGATAGGAAAACAGGTTCCCAGGGGGCGTGTGACTTGTCAAAGACTAAGGGGTTAGAAGGGGACAGGCAGAAACAACGTGAGCCTCCTCACAACCAAGACACTTTCGCTGTGGGTTGTCTGAGCCTCCTTAGATTCTGTTAGTGGTTAGTGTGGGAATACCCCCATCTCCCATGCATTCCAGATGCTCTGCTCCTCTCTTTCTGTGTGATTGGTTTCTGGGCTCTGCTTGATATTCTCGTCGGCCCCTTTGTTTCCTTTGGTAGGAGGAGATGGACCTGAAGGTACTACAGTTCAAGAACAAAAAACTGGCAGAGCGGCTGGAACAACGGCAGGCTTGTGAAGATGAACTCCGAGAACGAATTGAGAAGTTGGAGAAGCGGCAGGCCACAGATGATGCCACACTCCTCATCGTCAATCGCTACTGGGCCCAGGTGGATGCCTTCTGCTTTCCAAGACCAGGCCTTGATTCAGCTGCCAATCCCCAGATTCCCCTGCTGGAAAAGGAGTATAATGTTGGAAAGCACTAAGGGATTCATAACATTTTTGATGCTTTCTCCTTCCAGCTGGATGAAACTGTGGAAGCCCTTCTCCGATGCCATGAGGGCCAGGGCGAGCTGTCTTCAGCGCCTGAAGCACCTGGGACCCAGGAGGGGCCCACATGTGATGGGACTCCTCTCCCAGAGCCGGGGACATCAGAGCTGAGGGGTGAGACCAGAGTTCTGGGATCTAGGGAGCTTCAGTACTGGGAAAAGTCCTGGGGAGGAGGGGACTTTGGTGTTGGGCCTCTGAATTGCCTGCCTTACTACTCCCCACGAAATGGATTTCATGTTTGGGTGGTAAAGTGCAGTGCACAAAAATACAGGCTTTGGACTCTGACTAACTTGGTTTATAGAGCAATTCATGTTTTGACACCCATTTGTTTGAAAACAGTATTACGGTTGAGTGTTAACTATGTATTTGACGCTTTCTAGAAATGGGTACTTGCTCATTGCATTTGCTATGAGGAAGGAAATTACAAACATAGTAAGCAGAAAGTACTGGGGCTCCTGAAAGGGAATAGTTGTGTGTGCACACGTGTGTGTATGTGAGATTCTAATTTTTATTGGGAAAGTACAGGAGGCATCCCTGAGGATGTGATACGCAACTCTGTAGCTTTGAGGAAATTACTTTACCTCTCTGAATCTCATTTGTCTCAGTTTCAGGATGGAGATAATAGTGCACTATAGGTTGTGTTGATTAAGTGAGCCATGAATATTGAAGGGCTTAGTCTGGAACTTAGTACAGAGTGGTGGTAACTGCTGCTATTATCCTCATGAGGGTCTGTCCATTCCTTCCAGAGCCCTTGCCATTGCAGCTGCGGCCCCCTCTCAGTGAGCCGGCCTTGGCTTTTGTGGTGGCACTGGGTGCCAGCAGCAGTGAGGAGGTGGAGCTGGAGCTGCAAGGCCGAATGGAGTTCTCTAAGGCAGCTGTGTCTCATGTGGTAGAGGCCTCAGACCGCCTACAGCGCCGGGTGGAGGAACTCTGTCAGCGAGTGTATAGCCGAGGTGGGTTCTTTGTGCCCATACCCAGGAGGGGTCCATCCCTACCTGCATCTTGATGGCACCCCTTCCCAATTCCCCTAATGCCCAAGTCCAAGGGTGGCCAGAATTCCCCAAGGAATATATCAGCCATGTTCTTGGGAGGGGTAGGTTAGTCTGTAGATGGGGGTTCCAACTTTGATTCCTGGACTGAATGCTAGAGAGATGGGTTGGAGGAGCTGTTGATGCTGGTAGAGCCTCCTGTCCAGAGGCCCCTCTGGAGCACTTTGTGTGGGTTGCAGATCCACAAGGCATAGCTTCAAGGGCTCAGGCCTTGTAGGTTGACAGGCTTCTCCCACCTCAGTTCTGCCACCCTCACCTGGACATGCTGGGAAAGTGGCTCCCCTCTCTGAGCTGGTTTCCTCCTCTGTGCAGTGGAGATAAAGACTCCTAGCTTTGTCATGAGAAATTGGCAAGACAGCTGGGGGATCACACTGGGCACATAGCAGACTCCAGAATGAGTTAGTTCTTTGCCCCATTGCCCTGAGCTGGACTCTTAACCTGGGCCCTGCTTTCCCAGGGGACAGTGAGCCCCTCAGTGAGGTGGCTCGGGCACGCACCCGAGAGCTGGGCCGTGAGAACCGGCGACTGCAGGACTTGGCCACCCAGCTGCAGGAGAAACACCACCGCATCTCATTGGAGGTGAGGAGCCAGGGGCTTTGGGAGTGGGAGTGGGATTAGAATCAGGCAGGATTTGGGTTAGATGGGCCCTCAGGGACCAAGTCCCCCATCCAAGCATCTGCTTCCTCATTGTTCCCAGTACTCCGAGCTCCAGGATAAAGTGACGTCGGCAGAGACCAAGGTGTTGGAGATGGAGACAACAGTGGAGGACTTGCAGTGGGACATTGAGAAGCTGCGGAAGCGAGAGCAAAAGCTCAATAAGCACCTGGCAGAGGCCTTAGAGCAGGTGGGGCAGGGGTACTGGGGCAGGTGAGGCAAGGCTGGGCCCTTGGGTCCTAGCTCCTCCCTTCCACTTCCATTGCCTGTCTGTTTTCTCTCCACAGCTGAACTCTGGCTACTATGTGTCTGGGAGCTCCTCAGGCTTCCAGGGGGGCCAGATCACACTCAGCATGCAGAAGGTGAGCGGTGTCTTCCTCCCACCCCTTCTCATGACCTCTTCTGTGTTGCACTCTTGAAATTCCCCTCGAGACGAAGGACAAACGTCCATCTCCAAGGCCCTTCCTGGTCACTCCTGTTGCTCTTTCTTTCATGCATTCATATACTTTTTGAGTAAATTTTTGAACACTTAGTGCTAGGCACTAGGCATATTGGGGAGAACAAAATAGAGGTTAAAACTTTCATGGACCAGACAAGAAATAAATAAAAGAATATATCTTTAGGTTCTACTTGTAACAAACAAGAAATCGGTAAAATAGCCTATCATTGTGTTATGAGTACCACAAAGATAAAGCACAGAGGAGAGAGAGAGGAGTGAGTTGGAGTCAGTTGGCATCTGGTGGTCACTGTGCCCTTTTTCCCTTTACTGGCACTTTAGGCCTTCCTGGAATGCTTCCATGATTCCCCATCAGTTAAGAGCCTTAGTTCTCAACACCAACCATGCAGTATTGAATTTTCTCCCATTTGTCTGGGAGCGCTTAGGAAAGTACTTGGTTTGGGGCATCAGAATCGGTCATTGCCCTGCACGGAGTGCTTGGGCTGGAGTGTTTGCTGGGGATGTAAGGGAAGCCTGCTGCCATACCTGGCCCTGCCTCCCATGGCCCCGCCTCCCACTCCTTAGTTTGAGATGCTGAATGCAGAGTTGGAGGAAAACCAGGAATTGGCCAACAGCCGCATGGCAGAGCTGGAGAAACTGCAGGCTGAACTTCAGGGGGCTGTGCGGACCAATGAGCGCCTCAAGGTGGGCTGCCGTAGGGGCTGAGAAGGCCTGTGCCTGTAAGGGAGGGACTGAGCCCTGAATCCTCTTGCTGATCCCATTTGGGCATCCCTGCCCCAGGTGGCCTTGCGGAGCCTTCCCGAGGAGGTAGTGCGGGAGACAGGGGAGTACCGCATGCTGCAGGCCCAGTTCTCACTGCTCTACAACGAGTCTCTGCAAGTGAAGACCCAGCTGGACGAGGCTCGGGGCCTGCTGCTGGCCACCAAAAACTCCCACCTGCGACATATAGAGCACATGGAGGTATGGCTCTGGAACAGGCGTGGGGACTGGGCTAAGGGCCAGACCCTTAGTGTTGAGGTGTTGGTGGCTTCAGAGGCCCTGTGTGCCAGCCAGGGGTCCCTGGGGAATAGATTTTTCCTAAGATACTGAATCCTGAGGTGGGACCGAGGGACTGTGTGGGTCCTTAACATGTCAATCCACAGAGCGACGAGCTGGGGCTGCAGAAGAAGCTGCGCACAGAGGTCATTCAGCTGGAGGACACCCTGGCCCAGGTACGCAAGGAGTACGAGATGCTGCGCATCGAGTTTGAGCAGAATCTGGCGGCCAACGAGCAGGCGGGTATGTGGTGAGGATAGGGCGGAGGTGGGGCCTTATCTGGGAGTGCTGGGCCCTGGTGTGGGGCTGCTGCTTATCCAGATGCAAGAGGCTAAGGCCTTTTTTTTTCACAGAGCCTGGGCTTCCTATGCAAAACAGGGCCTGCACTGCTTGGCTCCCAGGCACAGTGAGGGTCATGCCAGCTGGGATGGCTGATGGAGCAGGCACATGCAGAGTTTGAGCTGTCAGCCCTGTCCACAGTCTTCTGGTCTGATGATGTCTCTCTCTCTCAGATACCTGTGTTACAAAGATTTATCAGATGCCACCTGTGAGCCAGGCTCTGTTCTAGGGTTTGGGGTTATGCCAGTGAACAAAACAGAATTCCTGCCATGTAGAGCAACATTCTGATAGAAGACAGACTAGAGAAAGATGAACTAGTAGAAGAAAAGTAGAAAATGTGTTAGTTCCTGACAAATACAGTAAGGAAAGTAAAGCAGAAAAGGATGATAGGAAGTATCAGGAGAAACGGTGTTGCAATTTTGGATAGGTGGCTAGGGAAATGCAACTGGGAAGGTGATGTTTAAGAATCTAGAAAAAGTTGACTAACTTTTGTGAATGTTACAGTTACCTTCTCTATTAAAGGGAATTGGATGTGTTAGAAAAAACATAGGCCAGGCATGGTGATTCATGTCTGTAATCCCAGCACTTTGGGAGGCCAAGGTGGGAGGATCACTTGAGGCCAGGAATTTGAGACCACCCTGGGCAACAAAGTGAGACACTGTTTCTATTTTAAAAAAACAAAAAACATGTTCTACATTAGCAAAAGTCATATGAATAGGCAGTGTCAAGTTACTTTTGGGTGAGTTTCCTTGAAGTCAGTATTATTTACTTTGGTGAGTTCATGCTCAGTTGAGGCTGCAGTGTTCCCCTCCTGCACAGTGGGAGTGATGGCATAGCCTCTTCCCTCACTGAGGGGTTGGAGCCCTAACCCAGGAACTGGTTCTGACACCCTTAATTCCTGGTGCTCCTCCAGGGCCCATCAACCGTGAGATGCGCCACCTGATTAGTAGTCTTCAGAACCACAACCACCAGCTAAAAGGGGACGCCCAGCGATACAAGCGGAAGCTTCGAGAAGTACAAGCTGAGATTGGCAAGGTAAGAAGGGGCCTGCCTGGGAAAAGCTTTGGCTAGACTCCAGTGAACAACATCTGACTTCATCCCTCTTCCTCTCTGGCTTTGCAGCTCCGGGCCCAGGCCAGTGGCTCTACCCACTCCACCCCCAACCTGGGCCACCCAGAGGACTCTGGCCTCAGTGCCCCAGCCCCAGGGAAAGAGGAGGGTGGGCCAGGCTCTGTCAGTACCCCTGACAACAGAAAGGAAATGGCTCCAGTGCCTGGCACCACCACTACTACCACTTCAGTGAAGAAGGAGGAGCTGGTCCCCTCTGAAGAGGATGTCCAGGGCTTAACCCTTGGGGCCCAGGGCCCTTCCTCCCGGGGCCGAGAACCCGAGGCCAGGCCCAAGCGGGAGCTTCGGGAACGAGAAGGTCCTGGCTTGGGTCCTCCACCTGTAGCCTCCGCTCTCTCGAGGGCCGATCGGGAGAAGGCCAAGGTGGAAGAAGCCAAGAGGAAGGAATCAGAACTCCTCAAGGGTCTCCGAGCAGAGCTCAAGTGAGGCTGTGTTCCTGTCTCCTTTCTGACCCTGCCAGGTGGCCTCCAGTCCCACTCACCAAGACTTCCTCCTGTACCTCCTTGCCAGGAAGGCCCAGGAGAGCCAGAAGGAGATGAAACTGCTGCTGGATATGTACAAGTCAGCACCCAAGGAACAGCGGGATAAGGTGCAGCTCATGGCAGCAGAACGCAAGGCCAAGGCCGAGGTGAGGGCAGCTGGGGCTTGTGGGACATGCAGAAAGGCAGAACAGAGTCCTAGGTCAGCAGGAAGCAGTGTCAAGAGAGTTCCTTTTTCCCTGTGCTGTAGGTTGATGAGCTGCGGAGCCGCATCCGGGAATTGGAGGAGAGGGATCGAAGGGAGAGCAAGAAGATCGCGGATGAGGATGCCCTGCGGCGCATTCGGCAGGCAGAGGAGCAGATAGAACACCTGCAGCGCAAGCTGGGTGCCACCAAGCAGGTGCGGCCCCTGTGTTGCCCTCGCCTCTGAATGCAGAGAGATCCCTTCAAACCCTGTTGGGTGCCTGTAGTGCCTGCAGCACCTTGATGATCTGGGTCCCCTCTGTGGTTCTTTGCTTTGCTGTGTTTTCCCATAGTTCCCCCACAGCCATCCTGTCCACTTCCCACATTCCATCTTGTCTCCTCCCACTTGCTGCAGGAGGAGGAGGCTCTGCTCTCAGAGATGGATGTGACAGGTCAGGCTTTTGAGGACATGCAGGAACAGAATGGGCGGCTGCTACAGCAGTTGCGGGAAAAGGACGATGCCAACTTTAAGCTGATGTCAGAGCGGATCAAGGCCAATCAGATTCACAAGCTGCTGCGGGAGGAGAAGGATGAGTTGGGCGAGCAGGTCCTTGGCCTCAAGTCCCAGGTATGGCCGCCCCCAGCTTATAGGGTGGAGCTGGAGAGGCGGGGGTCATGCCCCTGAGTCTTCCTCTGGTCCTTAGGTGGATGCCCAGCTGCTGACTGTGCAGAAGCTGGAGGAGAAGGAGCGGGCCTTGCAGGGCAGCCTTGGGGGTGTGGAGAAGGAGCTGACGCTGCGCAGCCAAGCCCTGGAGCTCAACAAGCGGAAGGTGAGGCTGGGCCAGGGGGACACACAACTTGGGCTGCTGGCTCACCTCCTCACCTTCCTTTTCTGCTCAGAGCACCCGACGCAATAGCCTAAGATGAAGCCAGGCTGTCACAGAACAGCTCACACATCCTGAACATTTACATGTGCCAGGCCACATGCTGAGTGCTTGATATGCTTGGTCACATTTCAGTCTCATTAATCCTATCAAGATGGTGTTTACGGGTTTGGGGGCTCACGCCTGTAATCCCAACACTTTGGGAAACAGAGGCGGGAGGTTTGCTTGAGGCCAGGAGTTGGAGACCAGCCTGGGCAACATAGTGAGACTCCCATCTCAACAAAAAAATTTTTAAATTAGCTGATTGTGGTAGTATGTGCCTGTAGTCCCAGCTTCTCAAGTGACAGGCCGACAGGTGAGAGGATCACTTGGAGGTTGAGGCTGCAGTGAGCTATGATCACACCACTGCACTGCAGTCTGGGTGACAAGGATGAGACTCTGTCCCTAGGAAAAAAATAAAAGGTGGATTTTTTTTTTTTTTTTTTTTTTTTGAGATGGAGTCTTGTTCTGTCGCCCAGGCTGGAGTGCAGTGTTGCAATCTTGGCTCTGCAACTTCCACCTCCCAGGTTCAAGCAATTCTCCCACCTCAGCCTTCCAAGTAGCTGGGATTACAGGTGCGCACCACCGTGCCCGGCTAATTTTTGTATTTTTTTTTAGTAGAGACGGGGTTTCACCATGTTGGCCAGGCTGCTCTCAAACTCCTGACCTTGTGATCCGCCCACCTTGGCCTCCCAAAGTGCTGGGGTTACAGTGTGAGCCCCCACGCCTGGCCGAATTTGGTTTTTAACCTCATTTTATAAATAAGGAAACTGAGGCTCAGGGAGGTGGACTGATATGCTCAAGAGGGAGTGGCCCTGGTATGTGGGTCCAAGCCTCCTTGACTCCAGGCTCTACCTTCTAACCACTCACTGGTGAACTGTAAACTAGGGATGATGTGCCCTGTCACATAGTTATATTAAATATAAGAAATGTCTAGTTTTGGCTAAAAGCTTAAGATTAACATTGATTTCCATTTCCTCTGAAGCTATTTTCTTTTTTTTTTTTTTTTTTTTTTTTCTAATTGATTGACGGAGTCTCGCTCTGTCGCCCGGGCTGGAGTGCAGTGGCCGGATCTCAGCTCACTGCAAGCTCCGCCTCCCGGGTTTACGCCATTCTCCTGCCTCAGCCTCCCGAGTAGCTGGGACTACAGGCGCCCGCCACCTCGCCCGGCTAGTTTTTTGTATTTTCAGTAGAGACGGGGTTTCACCGTGTTAGCCAGGATGGTCTCGATCTCCTGACCTCGTGATCCGCCCGTCTCGGCCTCCCAAAGTGCTGGGATTACAGGCTTGAGCCACCGCGCCCGGCCCTGAAGCTATTTTCTTCTCCAGTTAGTTCATTGATTTAAGCAGTGTGTTTGTGGGTTTTTTTTTTTTTTGGTTGTTTTTTTAGACGGAGTCTAGCTCTATTGCCCAGGCTGGAGTACAGTGGCTTGGTCTCAGCTCACTGCAGCCTCTGCCTCCCAGGTTCAAGCAAAAAAAAAAAATTAGTGTCCCGAGTAGCTGGGACTACAGGCACCTACTACCACACAAAAAAAAAAATTGTATTTTTAGTAGAGATAGGGTTTCACTGTGTTGGACAGGCTAAAAAAAAAAACCTGACCCCATGATTTGCCCGCCTCGGCCTCCCAAAGTGTTGGGAAAAAAAAAAAGAGCCTCTGTGCCCAGCCCATTTAAACAGTATATTTTACACCCCAAAAAAAAAAAAGGCCTTGTGCTGATTGCTGTGGAGACGGTGGGAACTAGAAGGTAAAAAAAAAAAAGTCAAAGCTGTAACTTCAGGTCTTGGCAGGCAGAGCAGGCCAGTAATCCCCCAAATAAAATAGTGCAGGTCACAGTATGCCTTATGCAGGAATCTGGGAAAAAAAAAAAGAAAAAAGGGGAGCCTCTCAGGAGGTGAGTCTTGAGCTGAGGCCTGGGGAGCTGTGCGTGTGTTGGGGAAGTTGAGGGGAGCAAAGAGGAGAGCCTTGTAAAAAAAAAAAAACCAGACAGCATCACACAGGGGAGGAACTTGAGAGGGAGAACAGGAGGGAAGGGCTCAGGGATCAGGAGGCAGGAGTAGCTCCAGGGCAGGTGTCACTAAAAAAAAAAACACAAGCATTGGTGGGCCATGGCTCCACGTGCCTGTCACCAGGCTCATACCAGTGCCTCCTTCCTGTTCCACTCCACTCAGGCTGTAGAAGCCGCCCAGCTGGCCGAGGACCTGAAGGTGCAGCTGGAGCACGTGCAGACTCGGCTGCGGGAGAAAAAAAAAAAACTGGCAGAGAGCCGGGCTGCTCGTGAGAAAGAGAGTTTCAACCTAAAAAAAAAAAAGGTGCGTGCAGGGTGAGGGGCCAGGCTAGGGTGGTCCACGGTCAAAAAAAAAAAATGGGGGCAGATGGCTCAAGGGTGAGGACCCTTGCCCTTAGCCAGGCCTCTCCTACCCCAGGAGGACATCTCACGGCTGCGGCGCAAGCTGGAAAAGCAAAAAAAAAAAAAGGTCTATGCAGATGCTGACGAAATCCTCCAGGAGGAGATCAAGGAGTATAAGGTGGGGCTGTGGGCCAAGTTATGCCCTGTCCACCTGGGAATTGTAGATACAGGATTGCTGAGACTGTAGTAGAGAGTCTGGGGACCCTGGAAGTAATGTAGGGCAGCACAAAGGGGGCAGCACAGTGGTTGCAGAGTCAAATGCTGACCGAGTGTTAAAAAAAAAAACATCGTGAGCCAGGCACAGTGCTTGGCTGGGTATGGGTTGGGAAACTAGGAACTGACCCTGGTCTCTGACCTCTTGAAACTGACAGAGGAGGAGGCAGCAAAAAAAAAAACTCATCCCAGATGTGTAATGTGATGGCAGAGGCCAGAGGGGCTGAAAAAAAAAAAGGGAGGCCCTTCCCCTGGCCCTGGGGTCAGCAGGCTTTCTGGAGTGAGTGTCACCACAGCAGACCTGAAGAATAGGCCAGAAGTGGCTGTGAGGAATGAGGGTGAGGGGCTGTAGGCAAAGGGAACAGCAGATGTGGAGGCCTGAGCAGAGGGGTTGCTGGGGGCACGGCACCGGAGGTTGTAATCGGAGGAGCCAATGTGGAGAGGTCAAAAAAAAAAACCTCCTGAAGGGTGTGGTACGCCAGGTTGAGACCTCAAAGGGTTAAAAAAAAAAAAGTGATGTAGTTGGATTCGTTGTTGGATTTGAGCTGGAAGAGGTAAAAAAAAAAAAGGGAAATTGTTAATGGTGTTGCAGTCACTGAGGCAGAAACCACAGTAGATAGGTTCAGGAGACATTTCGGAGGCAGAATTGCTTGGATTCGGGGATGGAAAAAAAAAAAGGAGTGAGGGGAAGGGAACACTTGGAGGACTCCTGGGTTCCTGGAAAAAAAAAAAAGGTGGATGGCCAGTACCATTTAGGGGGTTAGGAGACCTGCAGGGGAGCAGGGTCTATGGGATGGTGTCAAAGGATGCTGAGAAGGAGCCTGTGGGACCCCTTGGGAGGCTGGGAAGGTACTCAAGGCAGAAGGGCTAGGCTGGAGAATGGGCTAAAAAAAAAAAAGTAGAGGCAGAGGTGGAAACCACATATGACTTGGTCACCCCTTAGAAGCAGTTGAACCTTGAAGGGCAGAGGCAGCTGGAGGCAGCCACGGGGTAAAGGCAGGCTTGGGAGCCTGTTCAGTGCTGGAGCGTAGGGTCCTGGGAGACAGGAGTGAAAAAAAAAAAGCTGCTGAGGCAGCAGGCTGGGCTGGGATTTTAACAGGCTGGAGGAGGACTCTTGGGATATGCTGAGTTGAGTCAATCCATGTCTGGAGTTGGAGGTGAAAAAAAAAAAATAGCAGAAGAGAGGTCTCAGGCTAAGAAGGGACTCACAGCAGGGTCTCTGGCCAGTGCCGAGGCTGGGCCAAGTTGAGGGTAGAGAGAACAGATTTCTAAAAAAAAAAAAATTCCAGCTGTGACTTTGTTAAGTGCAGGTGAAGAGGTAGACAAAAAAAAAAAAATACCAGAGAAGGCCAGTGGGGCAGGAGATGAAGCCCCAAGGCAGAGTCCAGGCTGGGCTTGTGGGTCCTTGTCCTTTTGAGGGGACACATGATGGGCATAAAAAAAAAAAGATTAATCCGGACTCTGCTGATTTCTAGTGTTGAGACCTTGGCCAAAAAAAAAAAGTTTGCTCATTCATAGAGTGTTCGTCCCTACCTCCAGGGTTATGGGAGGATGAGGTGCAGTCTCCTGTGTGGTGGGCTTGGCTTGGACTCCTGCTGTCAAAAAAAAAAAAGGGCACTGTCAGAGTTGTTCCCAAGCTGATGCCTTTGCCTGGCCAAAAAAAAAAAGACCTGCCCCTGCTGTAATACCCGCAAGAAGGATGCAGTCCTTAAAAAAAAAAAACACGTTTTCTGCTTCGAGTGCGTGCGGGGCCGCTATGAGGCCCGCCAGAGGAAGTGCCCCAAGTGCAACGCGGCCTTTGGTGCCCACGACTTCCATCGTAAAAAAAAAAACTGAACCTGAAACTCGGGACTCTGGAACACCATGGACCCTGGGGGCTGTGCCCCCAGCCCCTCCCTACCCCAGGTCTAGTGACCCCACCCTCCATTCCGAAAAAAAAAAACCCAGCCCCTGCCCACCTAGTTGGTTTGGGGACCCTGGTGCGTGCTAGTGGGCATGGGATCAGCCAAGCTTCGTTCCATCTTTCCTAAAGGTCAGAGCTGCAGCCTAGGGGGCACTGCCCTACAGAAAAGGTCTGCCTGAGAGGCCTGAGGAGCAAAAAAAAAAAGACTGAGCCTCCTGGAAACTGGCCCTAACCTGTCTGTCTCCATGAAAAAAAAAAAGCCCTAAGGAAAATTCCCCAGGCTGTGATCTCCTACTCTAGAGAAGGCTCGCTCCCTGCCTACTGGCTCACAAATGGGGACCTGTGGGCCATGTCCTTAAAAAAAAAAAAAGACTGGGCTACAAGCCCCAAGAAGAATTTCCTTCACCCACCATCCCCCTCACCTCAGCAGGGCTTCTGTCCTGTGGAGTTCCCTGGACACCTTGGTCTGGCTCTTGTGCCAAGGGCTGAAGGAGGTACCCTCCTGGCAGACAGGGACATCACTTGCTTCCTTTGGGAAGCTCTAAGGTTGCTGCAGTCACCTTCCTCATCTTGCAGGTAAAAAAAAAAAATCATCAGTTTCTATTCTAATCGGGCCCCTTCCCAATCTCCACTAAAAAAAAAAATCCATTTACTCCCACCTCTTGCATCCCAAGGCTCTACTGGGTCCAAAAAAAAAAACCTGCTTTCATCCTGGTGGCCTTAACTACAGTGGAGGTGGAACTAAAAAAAAAAAGAAGGGACAGACCAGCCCCAGCTGCTGGGCCAACTTCCAATCATAAAAAAAAAAAGAGCTTCCCCTGACACCCTGTGACTGAGCCTGTGTCCTGTCTGCCTGCCCAGGCATGCTCCATGGGCCGTGAGGGCAGCGCCTGGAGAGGCCAGAGGGTTGGAGCTGCAGGGGTCCGTTTGGACCCACAGTCTCTACTCTAGAGATGCTTGTATAAAAAAAAAAATGTGATGAATAAACGTTCAACCCTCGGCCTGCAGCCAGAGTAGCAAAAAAAAAAACCCCAAATGTAGTCCCCCGATTTTAGCTGCAACAGCTGAGCAGCAAAAAAAAAAATTGATGTGAGCCTGGGAGGGGGCCTGTGCCAATATGAGACCCCGCTTTTGCCCATCACAACAGTGAGGCTGTGCTCAGACTTAAGGGCCGGCAGGGGTCAAAAAAAAAAACCGAAGGGGAGAGCGTGGTGGTGGTGGCCGCGGAGCCGCCTGTTAAAAAAAAAAAGACCCCGGGCTGACCACGCCCCCGGCTGTCATCGGCCTGGGGATGCCGGGACGCCTCGGGCTGCATCCTGGGAAGTGTAGTTCCTGGTTCGCACGTGAGGAGGAGGTTCTTGGAGGGAGAGCTGGTTTCCCGGTTGCGCTGGCCAAAGGCCGGCTTGAACTGGATCCTGCGGGCCACTTCTCAGCGGCTTCACCCCGACACCACTCGCACAGATCGGGACACCTCAGCGGGGTGACTTCCTTCTTTGCAATCGGCTTTGGGAGTAAAAAAAAAAATACAGAGTGGCGCCCCTGGGCTCAGCGCGTTGCGGGCCCACCGGAAAAAAAAAAAACCGAGGCGGGACTGGGGCTGGGCGCCAGAGCTCGTGCGAAGCGGTGTTGCTTCCGGCGCTGGCGACAGGGCCATGGCCACGGCAGGGGCTGCGTGTCTAAAAAAAAAAACCTTCGCGAGGACTAGCGGTTCTGTCCGCCTTCGGGCTCCACTGGCGCCCGGGGCTTGGGCGGGGCCGCCGCTGCTGGATCAGGACGGACTGGAGACGGAAAAAAAAAAAATGGTGACCTGGGGGCAGGGCCGCCGGCGGCGGCGGGCACGCTGGTGGAAGCGCGGCCCGCGGCGGGGAAGGACATCGGGCCGCCGAGGAAGTGTGGATAAAAAAAAAAAGCGGTGCGAGGGTGGGAAAAACGCAGGATATTGCATCATAGAGAAAAAAAAAAAAGCTCCCCTGTACAGCGCCAGTCTCAGGAGCGCCGCACGGGTCACGGGTGGAGGTCAGCCAGGGCCTCCTTAAGCGCAGTTCCCTTCCAGGAGTCGCCTTCGCCTGGGCTCTTTATAAATGCCAAATAACTCCGCATTGTCTCCCTAGATATACGAAAAAAAAAAAATTTGGTTTCCCTATTAGAGGGGCAAAACTCTCCTCTTGGGTCTAAAAAAAAAAAAAAAGTCGGCATCAAACCACTTTCTCAAGGTCAAGTCTGAGGGAAAAAAAAAAAAATCCCGGAATGTCAGTGGGGCAGCAACCACTGATGTGGCAGGAAAAAAAAAAAAATTTTCTTTTTGAGATGGAGTCTGTCTCCCAGACTGGAGTGCAGTAAAAAAAAAAAGGCTCTCTGCAACCTCCGCTTCTCGGTTTCAAGCGATTCTCCTGAAAAAAAAAAACGAGTAGCTGGGACTACAGGCGTGCACCACTGCGCCCAGCTAATAAAAAAAAAAACTCCTGCCTCAGCCTCCCGAGTAGCTGGGACTACAGGCGTGCACAAAAAAAAAAAGCTAATTTTTGTATTTTTAGAGACGGGTTTCACCATGTTGGCCAAAAAAAAAAAAAACTCCTGACATTGTAATCCGCCTGCCTCGGCCTCCCAAAGTGCAAAAAAAAAAAGCGTGAGCCACTGCGCCTGGCCAGGAACCAAACTTTTTTTTTTTAAAAAAAAAAAAGACGGAGTCTCACTCTGTCGCCCAGGCTGGAGTGCAGTGGTGCAAAAAAAAAAAACTGCAAGCTCCTCCTCCTGGTCCCACGCCATTCTCCTGCCTCAGCCTCCCGAGTAGCTGGGACTACAGGCACCCGCCACCGTGCCCAGCTAATTTTTTAAAAAAAAAAATAGAGGCGGGGTTTCACCGTGTTAGCCAGGATGGTCTCGATCTCAAAAAAAAAAAATCTGCCCGCCTTGGCCTCCCAAAGTGCTGGGATTACAGGCATGAGCCACCGCGTCTGGCCAGGAACCAAACTCTTAATAAACATTTCCCATGAGGCTCTGGTGCCCGGAGGATTTACCTTAATTTTTTGACTGCTTACCACCCCTAATGGTCCAAAAAAAAAAAGTACCCTGGGCCACTGCCCAGGGACTGGCAGACCAAAACTCCTCAAAAAAAAAAACTGACCTTGGCTGTCTTCTTGGGAGTGAACAGATGTTGGCATTAAAAAAAAAAAAGCCCATTTCAGCCAGACCTTGGGCACTGCCTGTGATTGGCCAGTAAAAAAAAAAACGTTGACCGCTCTTCTCAAAACTTGCCTTGCATCCAGCGGTGCTAAAAAAAAAAATCCTGGTTTTTCTTATACCGTCTTCTGCTGGTTGTTTCTCCACCAAAAAAAAAAACCTTCTACTTTGCCACTCTGGGTGTGTTTATTCATGGTTATGGCAAAAAAAAAAATGAAAAGACCTAACTGCTCCAGCCACTTTCTTTTCCTGAGTTCCAAAAAAAAAAAATCACCTATTCTTGTGGCAAGAGGAGAGATCATGTCACTCTCAAAAAAAAAAAAATGGTACCTTCCCCGAGCTCCTCCAGGGGCTCCACACTGTGGGCTCTGCTCTCTGCCTCTGTCTTCCCATAGTCCCCTCTCTGCTCTAAGCCCGTACCCAAAAAAAAAAAACCCCTGTCCCCCGTCCCACCCCCAACCCATATACCTACTCTAGGAAAAAAAAAAAACCCTCATCCTTCAGGTCACTTTCCCCGGAAAGCTTCCTGGCCCAAAAAAAAAAAAGGCACCATCTCTGGGTCCACAGACCTGTGAAATGTCTGAAGCAAAAAAAAAAAATGCCTGCTCTTCCGCTGTAGTCACTTTTCTGCAGATTTCTCCAGAAAAAAAAAAACTGATGGACCTCAGTGTCCCCAGGGCTTGGCACACAGAGAACGTGGAGTAGCCTTCATTACTTGCTTTTCCTCTCCTCCCAACCCCCTTTCCAGGTGGGGAAGGGAAGAAGACACTAAACCTGCCCTGAGGTGTGGTCAGAGGGGTACAGGAAAAAAAAAAAAAAACTTCCTGGCTGGGGCAGGACCCCCCCCCAACCCCCTATGGCCAAAAAAAAAAAACGAGAGACTGAGCACTGAGGCAGGCCTGACATTGGGATGGAGTGAAAAAAAAAAATGCTTGAGTTCCTGGCCATTCTGATTTCCTTCATGGACTTACTGAAAAAAAAAAACAAGTGGCTGCCCTTCTCTGAGCCTCAGCCTCTCCACACAGTGAAAAAAAAAAAACTGACATCCTGGGAGTGAGATGATAAGCCAGGTCTCCACCCACCAAAAAAAAAAACCCCAAGTGAACCAGGAGTGGTGGATGCCAGCTTCTGAAACTAGAAAAAAAAAAATTCCCCGTGGCAGGGTGCGGGTGTGGTGGCCAGAGAGGCCTCCCTGGGGCTGCACGGCTGGGCCTGAGCTGGCCAGCGCCAGAGCCACCAGGTGGCCACTCTACAGTCTTGCTGGTGGGGAGGCCAGGCACTGATGAGGACAGCTTGGCTCTGCTGCCATCTCATCAGATTCATCCCTCTCCATACCAAGGGTGTGCAGCTTAAAACTTAAAAAAAAAAACAGCTTCCCACAAGCCAGTACTGGATGGGGATTTTAGGGCCCCTGGGTGAAGTGTGGGCCTGGGGCTGGCCTGAGCTTTTGCAGTCACTCCTGGGCTCTAAAAAAAAAAAAGGCCATGCTCTTTCAGCTCACTCTAGGCTGAAATAAAAAAACAAAAAAAAAAAAGGAAATCTTATTCCCTTTATTCTCTTCAACTAAGCAACATGACCAAAAAAAAAAAAACACTGTTTTGGACACACAACACTCAAAAGTGGGGCCTCTCTTCACTCCAAGGGGACAAGTCAGGTGACTGGGGCTTCCCTAGTGGGGGCAAAGGAGTCTGGGAGCTGCTGACCTCAGGGCGGGTCACGGAACCCCACCTCTTGGCTGTGATGGCTTCAAGTTTCCCCACCATTCAGGATTCATGCCCAGTTCCAAGTTCCCATCTGACCTCCATGTCCACAGCAGTTTCGAGTTTCACTCTAAGCTCTCCCCTCTGCTTTCCAAAAAAAAAAACTGACCCTATCTGTTGGGCTCCTCCCTCCACCAGGGTGTTTCTGAAAAAAAAAAAGTCTGCATGTGATTGGACAAGAGGGTTTCGTTGCACAGTGCCTTAAAAAAAAAAATCTGGTGGGCAAATGCTTTGACCTCTGGGCCTTCATCTGAGCCGAAAAAAAAAAATCTAGCCACTGCCACCTCCCTGCTTCGATCCTCCCGAGACGTAGAAAAAAAAAAAAGGGAAGCCCCTGGTTAAAGGAGCTTGGGGAGGTAGGCAAGAAAAAAAAAAAAAAACCCCAGAGGTCTCCGACCCTGCCCCTTTCCTACTGCAAAATGCAAAAAAAAAAAAACTGTGCTCACATCATCCATCCCGTACCAGAGCCAAGCCCCTTAGCCCTCACCCATCCCTACAACATGCGAGCATCCTACTACATATGCTACACCCTAAAAAAAAAAAAGCCTGCGCCGGCCTTCGGCCACACCGCCTGCCTCCCCTCGGACTAAAAAAAAAAACCCAAAAGCTGCTCCTCAGTTCTCTTCTGGGGAGATTCCTTAGGCCCATTTCTGAGGGCATCTGCTTCTGGCTTTGCGAGGGGTTTGTCTCTACAACTTAAAAAAAAAAAACCATCTTGGGGGGCAGGGAAATCTGCTTAGGCTTGGCGGACTTAAAAAAAAAAAAGGGACACCCCTTCATCGGCATTCTGTTAGGGAGACCCACAGGCAGCCCCTCCCTCAGTAGTGCTTCCCTTCCTGGCACTTGGGTAGGCTGGGGCATTACGCAGATGGCAACAAGGTTCTCTGCACAATCCTGAGGCCTGCTTTCTCCCTCTCCAAAAAAAAAAAGGTGTTTTCCTCCCGCAATGTTTGAGATTTCAATCCTTTTAAATGTTAGGGTCTTTCCGCTGGGGCCACGATAGATGAAGGAGGAAGGATTTGCATAAAGGTTGTGTGAACCTTTAGGTCATGGAATTAGAGGTCTGTTCCACAGCTTTGCAAAAAAAAAAAAAACCCCGGTCAGAGACACGACTCCTGACAGGCCCCGCAGCTGGCATCTCAGTCCTTACTCCAGGACAGCGCACTACTGGGGTTGGCCTGCACTTCCTTTCCAAAAAAAAAAAGAGCAGACTTCTCTCGTTTTGAAGGGGTCTCCAGGATTAGGGAAAAAAAAAAAAATTACAGATGTTTCATTCAAGAATTTTCTCTCTTCCACCATCTCAAAAAAAAAAAATCTCTCCCCCGCCACATACGCCCAGGCCTGTGAGCAGGCTTGGCTGAGTTTATGAACATGTAACTGTGTGGTGTGGGAAGTGAGATGGGCCTGGCAAGGGAGCCTTTCTCATCCTTGTTTCCCTCTGAAGGTTTCTGGCTAAGGAGAGAAGCCAAATGGGTGGAATCCCTCCCATCCATCCCAAGGCTGAGATTGGGCTGGATCATCACAAAAAAAAAAAGCCCCAGGTACCAGGGTGACGAGGGTAGTACGGCCTCTGCGGACTCTTCAGGGACCTGTGGCTCAGTCCGTGGGATGCCTGGATCCCCACCAGGGCGGCAAAAAAAAAAAGCGAGGCAGCCTTGCTACCAACAAAGACGAATGGCTGAAGTTTAAAAAAAAAAAACTGGCTAATCAAAGCTTTCTAAGAAATTCTGTGGCCCTGCTGACAAAAAAAAAAATAGGGAGGCCCACATGCAGGCCCTAAGTCTCTGAAGGGCTTTATTCTTTGGAGGTCTGACTAGCAGCGGTTCTCCCTCTTCACTGAGGACAGAATTCGAGGAAATGAGCTGCCACTGGCGGCAGTTAGGTTTCAGGAAAAACCTCCTGACGGTGAGACCTGAGAATGTGGTGGGAGGCAACCGCCGTCCCTGGAGGCCTTGCAGAGTAGAAAAAAAAAAATGGGCAGGTAGAAAGGGTGGTCCTGCCTGGTGTGGGGAGAACCCTTGCAGCCTGAGAGCTGGGACCTGCCTGCAACTTGCAGTTTCACAAGCTCCCGGAAGCAAGAAGGGGCCTGGAGTTAGCTGAGTTCCATGTGAGCAGTTTCCCCACCTTGGTTTGCTCCCCTCAAAGTAATCTAACAGGAACTGACCCCTGCTTCCCCCTAATTTAAAAAAAAAAATCTCAGTATTCTTATACTGACCATGTTTCTGCACCCCAAACTTTAAAAAAAAAAAAGGCTTGCCAATTTGTTTTTTCTTCCCCATTTTGGGGTTCTTTTAAAAAAAAAAATCCACAGGCCTCTTTCCCTAACACACACAATTCATCTAACATTGGCCTCAAACCCCAAGGAACCCCAGTGCAGTGAACGGGACCTTCTCTTCCTAGTCTAAAAAAAAAAATCTCTGGGGGCCCCAGAGCTCCTGGTCACTTATTTTTCTCCTGTTTTCTTCCTTTGCAGTTCCACACAGTTCCCACACCACTCCCCCAGCTGAGCATCTTCGTCTCTGGAACTGTCCAGGGCCGCTGGGAGAGAACCCTGTGGAACAGCGAGGGAAAAAAAAAAACTGCACCTTCTGAGGGTCGCTCCTCCCGGGTCAGTGCCATCGCAAAAAAAAAAAAACCCTACAGGATTTTCCTAAGGATTTTGATACAGTTTTATAGGGTTGTTCAGAGACATATTGGGACCTCTTCCTACAATTAATAGGGCTCTTATCCACTAAAAAAAAAAAGGTTTTTCTGCTACAGACTTAAAGGGCTTTTTTTTTCCTACATAAAAAAAAAAAATCTAACCCAACAGTTTTTCTCCACTGCCTTATAAGTGCTTCCCAAAAAAAAAAAAATAGGGTTTCTCATCACTGATGTAAAAGCACTATTTTTTCCCCAAAAAAAAAAAACCTCCACTCCACTACCATCTGATAGGGTTATCCTCCCTTCCCCAAAAAAAAAAAATGGGGGAAAAAAAATCCAGTGTTCCTCTCTGGAGAGAGCGAGGCAAAAAAAAAAAAGACCCATTTCACAGGGAGACACCTGGGTGGCAGCTCCTATGGAGCAGGAGGGCCGCGACTTCTGTGAAGCCGTCTCCACACTCGGGGCACAGATAGGGAAAAAAAAAAACTCGGGTTTTGGGGCTTTCCCCTTCTTCCCCTTCCCCATGGCTGCTGCTCCCCATGGGGGTAGGGGCTTCCCCCTCACCTTCCTGGCCTGTGGACAGGGTGGCTGCCTCTGGAGGGGGGTCCTCGGGACTGGGGGACTTTTCCTGGGTGTGGGTAAAAAAAAAAAGGGTGAGGGCCACGCGGTCGAGGAAGGAGGCCCCGCAATCTGAGCAGCTGTAGGGTCTGGCCCCCAGGGGGCTCCTGAGATGCTCCAGGAGGACGGAAGAGCTCTTCCCCAGCTCTGTACTCTTCTGGGAGCTCTTCCCGCCTGCATGGACTTTAAAAAAAAAAAGCAGCTCAGAGCTGAGGCCAAAGCTTTGTTTGCATTCAGGGCATAAAAAAAAAAACCCACTTAGGAAGGGGCTGGGCCCTGCGCCTTCCCCTAGGCCAAAAAAAAAAAAAGGAAAGAGAAAGGGCTTTTCGTTGCCGTGGGTGAGCTGATGCTGAAAAAAAAAAAAGCGATCCAGGAAGCTCTCTCCGCAGTGGGAGCAGATGTAGGTCAAAAAAAAAAACAGTCCCCGCCTCTGGCTGAAGCCCTCCTGACCCTCTGGCGGCTAAAAAAAAAAACCCGGGGCGTCGGCTCTGCCCTCCGCAGCCCCGGGGTAGGAATTAAAAAAAAAAAGGAGCCTCGGGGATCGTAACTGAGGAGGTTTGGGGGCTGGGTGTAAAAAAAAAAAGTCTGCATTTTTGTAGGGGTTTTCTCCGATATGGATCCTTTGATAAAAAAAAAAAATGCCCTCGTCGTTGAAGCCCTTTCCGCACACGAGACACTTGTGAAAAAAAAAAACCGGCGGCGGGGTCAGCAGGGAGGGGTCCCCGAGCCCCAGCAGGGCGTCGCCCTGGGCCCTCCGCGCTGGGGTCTTCCCCCTCTCATGGATCACCCGGTAAAAAAAAAAATCGTGGGCTTCCAGGAAGGCCTTCCCGCAGTCGGAGCACACGAACAGGTTCTCGTCCATGTGCGTGCGGACGTGGGTGATGAGGTTGGAGCTCTGGCTGAAAAAAAAAAAACACTCGGGGCACTTGTAGGGCTTCTCGCCGGTGTGCGTGCGGCAAAAAAAAAAAAGGTGGGAGCTGCGGATGAAGCTCTTGCCGCAGTCGGAGCACTTAAAAAAAAAAACGCCGGTGTGGATGCGCTGGTGGCGGATGAGGGTGGAGCTCATGAAAAAAAAAAAGCCGCAGTCGGCGCAGATGTAGGGCCGCTCGCCGCGGTGGATGCGCTGGTGGTTGATGAGGTTAGAGCTGACGCTGAAGCTCTTGCCGCACTCGGGGCACTTGTAGGGCCGCTCGCCCGTGTGAGTGCGCTGGTGCCGCAGCAGGGTGGCGCTCAAAAAAAAAAACTTGCCGCACACCGGGCACTTGAATGGGTCCTCGCGCAGGTGAGTCCGCTGGTGCTTGATGAGGGTGGAGCTGTGGCCGAAGCTCTTGCCGCACTCCAGAAAAAAAAAAAGCTTCTCGCCTGTGTGCGTGCGCTGGTGCTGCGTCAGCTCCGAGAAAAAAAAAAAGCTCTTCCCGCACTCGGTGCAGCGGTATGGCTTCTCGCCCGCGTGGATCTTCTGGTGCTTGAGGAGGTTGTGGTTCTGACCGAAGCGCTTCCCGCACTCAAAAAAAAAAAAGGGTTTCTCGCCCGTGTGCGTGGCCTGGTGCTGGATGAGGTCGGAGCTGCGGTAGAAAGCCCGGCGGCACTCGCCGCATTTGTAGGGCTTCTCGCCGGAAAAAAAAAAATGGTGCTTGATGAGGTTGGTGCTCTGGGTGAAGGCCTTCTCGCAAAAAAAAAAAATGTAGGGCTTCTCTCCCGTGTGCGTGCGCTGGTGCTGCACCAGGAAAAAAAAAAAGCTGAAGCACTTGCCGCAGTCGGGGCACTTGTAGGGCTTCTCGCAAAAAAAAAAACGCTGGTGCTGCACCAGGTGCGAGCTCTGCGTGAAGCTCTTGCCGCACTCCGAGCAGGTGTTGGGCCGCTCTCCCGTGTGGATGCGCTGGTGCCGCAGCAAAAAAAAAAACTGGCTGAAGCTCTTGCCGCACTCGTTGCAGATGTAGGGCTTTTAAAAAAAAAAAGGGCGGCCCTGCACCAGCTCCCGCAGGCTAGGCTCGTTGGCGGGGACGACCGGGGGGCTGTTCCATGTGGTGAGAGCGCCCCACTGCCAGCTGGCCTCGCAGGCCTTGGTCCAGTCAGATGGGGTAGGGACAACCTCCGGGGCTGGGGGGTCCAGGGGGGTCTGGTGGTCCAAGGGGTTGGAGTGAGCCAGTGGGGTTGGGGGGTTCTGAAAAAAAAAAAGGTCCTGGGAGGGTCTCTCCAGGGACATCTCTATGGAGTCCTTGGATTCTGGACTCTGAGCCGGGTCTCCCATGATGATCTCCTCCCCAGAACTTTCCTAAAAAAAAAAATCCTCTTCGTTTTCACTCTCGGCACCTACAGAGAGAAAGGGAGTAAAAAAAAAAAAGCCCCTTTCAGAACACGGGGTCTGGTCTCTCTTCCCTCCCCTGGGTGTCCCCCAGAGTCCAGGCCCCTCCCTGAGCTGGGGCCACCGTCTTGCCAGGACCGCAGCCCCTTCTTGTGCCCCTCACCTCTGTGAGCATCGTTGGGGCTCTGTTCCGGACCCTGCAGATCCGGGCCCCACAGCGCAGTCTCGGGCTCCATCCCAGAGCTCAAAAAAAAAAAATTCCAGGGACCCTGCGGGGGAAGAGAGCGATGAGCGCACACTGGAAAAAAAAAAAGCACTTTGCTTTATTCCCCCTGAACCTCACTCCCGCCCTGCCCCAAAAAAAAAAACCTTGTGTGAGCTTCAGTGTCCTCCAACCCCATTTTTCTGGGCACGGGTTCTTGCTGTGGCCCCTTTCCCCTGCAGGCCTGATTCTCGCTCCAGATCTTAAGAGCACAACTAAGCAAGCAGGTGAATTTAAGAGCGTAATTAAAAACTCATCACAAAAAAAAAAATGAACCCAGACTGGGGGCTGGAACGGTCTCTGACATCCACAGGGGAAGGAGGTTTTCACCCCACACCTATGATGCCCAGAGGCTGGGAAACCTGTTATTAAAAAAAAAAAGGAAGCTCATTAAGACTCTAATTTTCCTTCTAATGGGGCTGCTAAAAAAAAAAAATAAATTTTTCTGTGCCCCAGAGTGAACGCAGGCTGCCGGAGACAAAAAAAAAAAAAAGAAAAAATACCCCAGTTTCCCAGAGGAGACAGGGGCCCTCTAAAAAAAAAAAAGCACTTTCCCGTTATCCAAGCACAGAAAGAAGGTCAGGCTAGAGGTGGGGGGAGGGGCAGTTTAAAGCGGCCAGGAGCATCTGCAGGAACCGCCCAGAGGAAGAGAAAAAGTAAGGAGAAGGGGAGAATGGATGCTTGTGTGAACACCTGCAGCGGACCCAGCACCTGCCATGGTGTCATTTCTCTCACCCAGTCCTCCCACAGCATGGAAAAAAAAAAAAGAAATCTGGCTGTCCATTTTACAGATTAGTACATCGACGCCTGGGGAGACCTCTCCAAGGTCAAGGCTGGGAAGTGGCAGAGCTAAGATGACAAAAGCAGGGCTCTGTGTCTGGCTCACCCCTGTCTATTAGAGCACGAGGTGACCTTGGGAGTCATGTGAGACTCATGCTCGTGGGAGGCTGGCAGGAAACAGGTGATGAGGACAGCTCATGGGGAGCCTGCTGGCAGTGAGAATAGGCTGGAGAAATTCCTGGGACCCAGAGGGTTCCCAGGCTAGAAAAGGAGGAGTTGCACCCAGGGACTAGGCCTGCTGGTCTAAAAAAAAAAACTGGAACTATACTCCCCACCAAAGCCCTCCTATTCCCACTCCCGAAAAAAAAAAACTTCTACTACTTCTGTTCTGCTTTGTTGAGGCTGTTTCCCAAGCAAAAAAAAAAACCTGGCACCGAATAGGTGCTCCAGGAACTTTGTTGAATGAATGAAAAAAAAAAAAAATGAATCAATGAATCAATGAATGAGATGTCCGTGGCCCCTGGAAAAAAAAAAAAGTCTAATGCCTTTAAAGATCAGTTTGCAAGGGGATGGCAGCAAAAAAAAAAAAAATCCAAGTGGCCCCCTGGTAAAAACAAACAAACAAAAAAACAGCCAAAAAAAAAAACAAAAATGGTGAGATGAGCCCAGGATGAGGGAACGGGGCCACATGAACAAAGCACTAGAAGGAGGTCCCACACCATTTACACCCTGCAGAGAATCCCTGAAAAAAAAAAAGAAACTTTGGATGGCTGTGTGAGGTGGGTGCTGTGTGCACAGGGGCAGTGGGGCAAGAGAGACATGGCAGGAGGCAGCCGAGAGGTGACCAAGGTGAAGCAAGACTGGCTGCACCCTGCCAAAGAGCGGTAGGAGAGACAGAAGTTAGCGTTTAAAAAAAAAAAAAATTTCTTCATCTCTGCAGCTACTTAAGCTCCGAGAATCCCCCCAAAAAAAAAAAAAGTGTCTTTGGGGTGGTGGAAGCGGAGACCTCTGCCACACTGGGGGCTGCCTGATGTCCGGTCCGGGAAGGATGCCCTGCTGTGTTTGCTGGGGACAGAAAAAAAAAAATGGACCTCGATGGTCTCCAAAAAATTCTCCCCCAGTGGTCCAGAAAAAAAAAAAAAGGGTTAATGACAGGGCCGACACAGAGCATGGACGTGGGAAGACCGAGGGAGGCCGAGTCGCTGGGAGCCCAGGCGCCAGGCACGCCAGCCTGAGACCTCGCGATGGCCCTGCTGCAGAGGGAGGGAAGGAGGAGCCGCCTCCCGAGAGATGTGGGGAACGGCCCAGGGTGACCCTGACATGGAGGCGGCGGGAATGCGGCCGCCCGGCCCGGCCCCCCCACCGCCTGCACCGTCGGCCCCGGGCTTCTGCTCCCCCGGAGCCGCGACCCCCGTCCCGCTGCTGATCCAGAGCGTGGGCATCCGCCCCCGCCCTGGCCCCCGGGGTCCCGGCTCCTTCAAGCACTGCCAGGTTCCTCCAGGGCTGCGCTGGCAGAAAAAAAAAAAGGCCCCGGCCGATCCCTCTTCCCAGAATCCCTAGGCTCCCCTCCAAAAAAAAAAACCCCCGCGCTTCCCAGAATCCTCGGCCCTCCGCGCCCCCCACCCAAAAAAAAAAAGGCCACAGCCTCGGGCGCGGGTGGGGGGCTCAGGCCCGGGCTCCCGGCACCCCCCTCCCGGGCCCCATTGTTCCCCGGCGGCCGTCCCGGGCCCTCCAGGCCACCCCCTGGGAACCCAGGCGTCCCCAACTCACGGCTCTGGGGTCTGGGAAAAGCCGGAAGGCGGAATCCAGCCCCAGGGGACTTAACCCCTTCAGTGCCCTGCCTTGAAAAAAAAAAAAGGCGCCGAGGACTCTAGGGTCCTTCTCAAGGGGTGATTCCAGGCTGAGGACCCGGGGACCAGTTCAGGGTGACTGGGACGGAGCAGGAAGTGACCCCAAAAAAAAAAAACCCTCTAGCCTGGAGTCAGAGCATCAGCTCTATGGGATTTAACCAAAAAAAAAAAGCAGCCTGGGGAAAAAAGGGGACAGCAGTGGGAGCAGGAAGGAGAAAAAAAAAAAGCCCCTGTCCCCGTCTCCAGTGGGAGCAGGCAGCGTGGGCATCTAAAAAAAAAAATGCCCGCGAGGGTCCCTGGGCTTCTGGCCGCTCTTCATCTCGCAGAGGTTCCACCGGCAGGGCCAGGAAAGCCCTATCTCAGATTTGGCGGCTGCTGATCCCCTGAGGCCAGCCTTTGTTTGGACTCACCCTGGGATGGGGCTGGGGTGGGAGCAGGGGCTGGCAGGGCAGACCTGAGGGGGAATACCCTACGCACTAAACATGGCCTTAAAAAAAAAAAGAAGTCATGGCTGCAGGAGTTGGGGCTGCAGGGACAAACACAGCCGGGAAGGATTTGCAACAGCCTGTGTCCCAGCCCCTTTTCCCCAGACACCTCCCCTCAGAGGAGGAAACTGAGGCTCACGGTGGCAGGAAAGAAATCAGTGGGGGTTCCCAAAAAAAAAAAGGAGAACCTCTTTCCTCATAGCTCAGAAGGCATCCAGCTCACAGAAAAAAAAAAATTTAAAAACCCAGGAACACTGGTGGCCTCCCAAGGTCCAAGTTAAAAAAAAAAAAAATTTTTACAGCCTTTCTTTCTCGTCTTCCTTATCACAGTCCCATGGGATAAGGTTGCCTATCATCCCTATTTCACAGGTGAGGAAACCAAGGTGTGAGAAGTGAGTGGTGTACTTAAGGCCACCTAATTCTTTCAGTTCGACCCATTGCATTATTATTCCTGGACACTGTGGTTAACACCGAGGCCGGCGTACTTCAGAGATGCATGGAAAAAAAAAAATCTACCCTTGGGAAGTTTGGTATTGTGTATGTGTTACAGACACAAAAAAAAAAAAGGAGTGTGTGGAGGGCTCTGTCCAGAGACTGAGGGGCCTGGGGGAAAAAAAAAAAAAAGGTCAGAAACTACTACAGGCAGCTGGGCGCGGTGGCTCACGCCCGTCATCCCAACCATTTGGGAGGCCAGGGCAGGCGGATCACTTGAGGTCAGGAAAAAAAAAAAAGCCTGGACAACATGGTGAAACCATGTCTTTACTAAAAATACAAAAAAAAAAAAAATGCAGTGGCTCACGCCTGTAATCCCAGCACTTTGTGAGACCAAGAAAAAAAAAAAATTTGAGCCCGGAAGGCAGAGGTTGCATTGAGCCGAGAGCAAAAAAAAAAAAAAAAAAAAAAAAAAAAAAAAGGAGGGAGGGAGGGAGAGAAGGAAGGAAAAAAAAAAAAGAGGGAGGGAGGGAGGGAAGGAAGGAAAGGAAGGAAGGAGAAAAAAAAAAAAAAATTGCTAAAGGCCAGGCTTGTTGGCTCATGCCTGTAATCCCAGCAAAAAAAAAAAATGAGGCAGAATGGTAACTTGAGCCGAGGAGTTTGAAGGTTGGTCAAAAAAAAAAAACCCCGCCTCTGTGAAAAACTTAAAAACAATTAGCCAGGCAGGGCACGGTGGCTCATGCCTGTAATCCCAGCATTTTGGGAGGCCAAGGTGGGTGGATCAAAAAAAAAAAGGAGTTCCAAACCAGCCTGACCAACATGGAGAAGCCCCATCTCTAAAAAAAAAAAAAAATTAGCCCAGCGTGGTGGTGCATACCTGTAATCCCAACTACAAAAAAAAAAAAGGCAGGAGAATCGCTTGAACCTGGGAGGCTGAGATTGTGGTGAGCTGAGATCGCGCCATTGCACTCCAGCCTGGGCAACAAGAGCAAAACTCAGTCTCAAAAAAAAAAAGAAAAGAAAAGAAAAACAACAACAACAACAAGAAACAAACAATTAT